TCTTCTGTAGAACTGTATGTTACCTCCTGTGTATCAACCTGCCTTCTTTATCACAATATGTCATCTTCTGTAGAACAGTATGTTGCCTCCTGTGTAACAAGCTGCCTTCTGTATTACAATATGCCATCTTCTGTAGAAAAATATGTTACAACCTGTGTAACAAGCTGCCTTCTGTATCACAATATGCCATCTTCTGTACAACAGTATGTTACCTCCTGTGTAACAAGCTGCCTTCTGTATCACAATGTCATCTTCGATCTGTAGAACAATATGTAACCTCCCGTGTAACAAGCTGCCTTCTGTATCACAATATGTCATTTTCTGTAGAACAATATGATATCTTCTATATAGCCATGTCACCTTCTGTATAGCAATCTGTCATGCTCTGTGTTACAATATATCATCTTCTGTAGAACAATATTGTAACTCCTGTGTAACAAGCTGCCCTCTGTATCACAATATGTCATCTTCTGTAAAACAATATGTTACCTCATGTGTAACAAGCTGCCTTAATTCTGTATCACAATATGTCATCTTCTGTAGAACAATATGTTACCTCCTGTGTAACAAGCTGCCTTCTGTATCACAATATGCCATCTTCTGTAGAACAATATGCTACCTCCTGTGTAACAAGCTGCCTTCTGTATCACAATATGTCATTTTCCGTAGAACAATATAATATCTTCTATATAGCCATGTCACATTCTGTATAACAATCTGTCATGCTCTGTGTTACGATATATCATCTTCTGTAGAACAATATTGTACCTGGTGTGTAACAAGCTGCCCTCTGTATCACAATATGTCATCTTCTGTAAAACAATATGTTACCTCCTGTGTAACAAGCTGCCTTAATTCTGTATCACAATATGCCATCTTATGTAGAACAATATGTTACCTCCTGTGTAACAAGCTGCCCTCTGTATTACAATATGTCATCTTCTGTAGAACAATATGTTACCTCCTGTGTAACAAGCTGCCTTCTGTATCACAATATGTCATCTTCTGTAAAACAATATGATATCTTCTATATAGCCATGTCATCTTCTGTATAGCAATCTGTCATGCTCTGTGTTACAATATATCATCTTCTGTAGAACAATATGTTACCTCCTGTGTCACAAGCTGCCCTCTGTATCACAATATATCTTCTTCTGTAGAACAATATGATTCCTCCTGTGTAAGAAGCTGCCTTCTGTATCACAATATGTCATTTTCTGTAGAACAGTATGTTACCTCCTGTGTAACAAGCTGCCTTCTGTATCACAATATATCTTCTGTAAAACAGTATGTTGCCACCGGTGTAACAAGCTGCCTTCCGTATCACAATATGTCATCTTCGGTAGAACAATATGTTACCTCCTGTGTAACAAGCTGCCTTCTGTATCACAATATGTCAACTTCTGTAGAACAGTATGTTACCTCCTGTGTAACAAGCTGCCTTCTTTATCACAATATTTCATCTTCTGTAGAACAATATGTTACCTCCTGTGTAACAAGCTGCCTTCTGTATCACAATATGCCATCTTCTGTAGAACAATATGCTACCTCCTGTGTAACAAGCTGCCTTCTGTATCACAATGTCATCTTCGATCTTTAGAACAGTATGTTACCTCCTGTGTAACAACCTGCCTTCTGTATCACAATGTCATCTTCGATCTGTGGAAAATATGTTTCCTCCTGTGTAACAAGCTGCCTTCTGTATCACAATGTCATCTTTGATCTATAGAACAGTATGTAACCTCCTATGTAACAAGCTGCCTTCTGTATCACAATATGCCATCTTCTGTAGAACAATATGTTACCTTCTGTGTAACAAGCTGCCCTCTGTATCACAATATGCCATCTTCTGTAGAACAGTATGTTACCTCCTGTGTAACAAGCTGCCTTCTTTATCACAATATGTCATCTTCTGTAAAAAAATTGTTTGCCTCCTGTGTAATAAGCTGCCTTGTGTATCACTATATATTATCTTCTGTACAACAATATGTTACCTCCTGTGTAACAAGCTGCCTTCTTTATCACAATATGTCATCTTCTGTAGAACAATATGTTACCTCCTGTGTAACAAGCTGCCTTCTGTATCACAATATATCATCTTCTGTAGAACAGTATGTTTCCTCCTGTGTAAAAAGCTGCCTTCTGTATCAGAATATGTCATCTTCTGTAGAACAATATGATATCTTCTATATAGCCATGTCACGTTCTGTATAACAATCTGTCATGCTCTGTGTTACAATATATCATCCACTGTAGAACAATATGTTACCTCCTGTGTAACAAGCTTCCCTCTGTATCACAATATGTCATCTTCTGTAAAACAATATGTTACCTCCTGTGTAACAAGCTTCCTTCTGTATCACAATATATCATCTTCTATATAGCCATGTCACCTTCTGTATAACATTCTGTGATCTTTATATTAATATGTCATCTTTTGTTTAACGATATTATATTTTCTGTATAACAATCTGGCATCCTGTATACCAATATGTCACTTCTGTAGAACAACCTGCCATTATATTCTCTATAACAGTCGGAAATCAGCATTAACACAATATGTCTTCTAATGTTAAACGATCAACTATCTTCATTATGTCAATTGCTCATTTTACTTTCATTTTCATTCTTCATTCCCATCTTCTGTATAATCATATTCAGCTTTTTGAACAATAATCTGTACCTTATGTGGAGCAATCTGTCAACTGAATAACACTCATCTATCATCTACTAGTAGCTAATAAAAGCGACAAAACCCTTTCCACGGCCACCAGAAATTGTACGATTCCGACTGTTTCATCAGCGTGTGTTTATGAATCACTATCAAACAGTGATGATACCAGGTGTTTGCGAAAATGTGAACGTATCCTGTCCCACCGGTGGCACACGTCACAAACACGTGTAAGGGCAAGTGAATTCTTCACCTGAAAAAACCCACGGGAACATATGGTACAAGTCAAAATACGAAACTTAAAAGATCTGTCATCTTCTGTTTTAAGATCTTCCCTCGCCAATAGAACAATATTCCCTCTATGTTTTTCTCTCTGACAACTTCTGGTTAACATCATCTGCATAAAAATCTTCCATTTGGGAACTCAGATAGGCGTGGTTACTTTCTATTTAACGATCTCAAAACATGAAGTATACTGAACAACAAAAGTTCTTGTGTCATTGAATAAGATTTAATGCAAAGTTATGTTTTTTACCAGATCTGAAACAATTTCGGTTTGCAACAGATAAAAGACTGCTGTAAATGTTCAAATGGTTTAATTTGCCATACTGAGAAAATGCGTGATTTCATTAAAAAAACATTAACATGCCAAAATGTCAATCTATAAATCAATAGCGTGTGTGTCCACCTCTGGTTGCGATGCAAGCAACATATCTTCGTTTCATGGAATGGACCAGGCGTCGCACAAAGTCCTGTGGGATGCCTGTCCATATCTGCTGGAGCAAGTTCCTGGAGTGTCTGTGGAACACGTGGTTGACGTTGAAGGCGCCGGTCCATCTCATCCCACATGTGCTCGATTGGTAAGAGATCGGGGGAGCGAGCCGGCCAGGAGATGACATTCACGTTGTTTTGTTGAAGAGAATCCTGAACAAGTCGTGCAATCTGAGGCCGGGCGTTGTCATGATGAAAGGTAATGCCTTGGCCATGACGACGCAAAAACGGTACATCAACAGGGCCGATGATCTCGTCGCGGTAGCGCTGTCCATTGAGATTTCCCTCTGACACTATCAAACGGGTCCTCTGTCTTGCTGTAATCCCACCCCATACCATAACGCTGCCGCCTCCGAACCGATCTTCTTCCATGACACAATGATTGACGTAACGTTCACCTCGATGTCGGTACACTCGAATCCGTCCATCACTGTGGCTGAGGTGAAAACGAGACCCGTCAGTGAATAGAACTTGTCCCCACTGCATGGCCGTCCAGCGTAGACGCTGTCTGTACCACTGTTGACGTGCTTGATGGTGGTTTCCTGTCAAAATGGGACGTCTGGCAGGTCTTCTGGCGACAATCCCTACACATCTGAGGCGACGAGGTACGGATATTCGTCGAAGGCCAGGGATGCTTCTTGCAGTCAGTGTTGCTGGCTGGAATCGATTTTCTAGGTGTGTTGTTCGAATCCAGTTGTCTTGTCGATTATTGGTTACGCATGGCCTGCCACTCCGAGGATGGTCTCTGACTGCATTCGTCTGTTGCCAACGTTGCCATAAACACCAAATGGTGTTTCTGTGGTCGTTAAATTGTCTTGCAACATCACGTTGAATCGATCCTGCTTCGCAGACGCACATTTTCAGACAGGCGTGGCATTTTATAATGTTGAATAATTGCGTAATTTCGTTGTGTTTCTGAGTGGTTGTTGTCAGCTCGATGCTAAACAATGCATATGGAATCCCGTTAACGCACATGTTTTTATACCCATTCTTGGGTATTGAAATGCATGGGGCTTGCATAAAAGCCAACTTTTGCATGGAATGCATGCTTTTCTGTAGCAATTGCGTTTTTGTGACTTTATTCCATATATGTACTATAATATTGAAAACCAAACTTTACTTGTTTGAAAAATACAATATTGGTGTCACAGGAACTTTTGTTGTTGAATATATATTTACCAATGACTCAGATTGTGTTAATATCTTTATATTGGAGACCCAAAATTTACACATAAATATTATCACGGTACTAAACGATACTAATGAAAAACCCTTTACTCAAGAAAAGCCCACGTTAATGTTTCAGGTCGATGAAAAACATGTCAAAGTATGTGTACAGGATAACCTACAGAATGCACACTGTAGCATCCACCACTCCATACAACCAGCAAGCCGGGCAGGAGGTCATCTAATTCCTCCTCAAGCTCGATAACGAAGTGTGTATTCATGGGCTTCCACCTCGTTCCCCCGGTACAGTCTATTAGTGAGCAGCACAATTGCCTGCGCTCCACCACACACGGTCTGTGGTGTATTGATTCGCTCGCTCCTGGCTGTTGGCACAGGCCAAATATTCGCACTGCCTCGTTCCAGCAATTGTCAGACACATATAGATTACATGGATTTGGCATCTTATATCGTCTTTTCCTTTCCAAATTGGACTGTGCAAGGTTTGGAGAAGGTTTGGAGAAGAATCGATCTTAATTACATCAATTCTGTCGCCATTCCCAGCACAAGTGATCTCTGAGGTAAGTTTGAAACGCGCTCTGCTTGTCACATTTTTCTAGTCGAAGACCGATCACGGAGCGTACCTTGCCGTCTCATGCACAGTATCTAGGGTGAGTGCCTGCTGTCATGTAGGCAACAGTTGACGTAATGGTAAGTGTTGCATTGATTCTGTTATTTGTGTTTACTGGTTCATATTTCATAACCGATCATCTGAAACATATTTAGAATGAAATAAGATACGGTTGATTTTTCTCGATCGTTTATACGTTTGATATGAAATTAAAGTTTTTAACGTGATCTCTCGTGTGTGTTCAGGCTCAATGTGGCCACCAATGTTCAGTGTATCCATTATCGTGCCATCATCCTTTTTCTCAAAGGTTCCCCAAACATTTGACAATTTATTCATATATGAAAACATTAATAAGAATTAAGAAGCTCTAATGGACTGTTGTATGGCCATATGAGGCCTAACGCTGGAGGACAAGGTAAGAATAAGAGTCATTTCGCATTTTGTCTGATACTAATATTATTCATTTACGAATATCAATTTTGACGATCACGTGAAGTGCCATATAAACTCTGTGGAGAAACAAAACGTAATTATTATCAATGATATTATACTAGATTATGGGATATTGTCAGTGTCCTAAACATGGTGAAAAATCCTTAAACCGAAATACCACTTTGTTGTAGCAGAGCCCAAGCCAATTTGGAAAAAACTACGTTTCTTGTATTTTCAAGAGTAGGGAACGTTACTATTAACGTTAGTAACTATTAACGTTACTAACTACTGTAAGTACCAGCAACCCCTCCACCCACCCCACACGCATAACATCTCTCTCACACACACACGCACGCACGCACGCACGCACGCACAATGCGAAGGTCTTAGCTCGGTTTTGGGGCTGTCGAACTATTGGTGAGACTAAAGGGCTCGGCACACATGTGACACTCGGATGTTCCGATTGTGGGTCACGAGACAGGGGGGGTCACCAGACTGAGGTTTCCGTCTGACTGGGAAGGTATCAGAAAGCGGGGGTCTTCAAACCGGTGGGTCATTGAATGTAGTGGTTGTCAGGCTGAGGCCATCAACCTGTGGAGTCATGTGACTGGTGGACCATCAACCTCCGGGACCATGAGGGTCTGGGACCAGTTGATTTCCAGGATCATGACACTATGTGACTATCAACCTGTAGGGTCGATAGACCGTGGGAGCCTCAATCTCCGGGTTTTATGACATTATGGGACCATCAACCTCCGGCATCTTGAGATCTGGGACCACCAACCTCCGGCATCCTGAGATTCTGGGACAATCAACCTCCGGCATCCTGAGATTCTGTGACAATCAACCTCCGGCACCATGAGATTCTTGGACTATCAACCTCCGGCATCATGAGATTCTTGGACCATCAACCTCCCGGATCATGTGACTTTGGGGCCAGTTGATGGGGGGGTTGTCCATATCAAAGCGAGGTATTAACAATAATTCAGTTCTTATGTCGGCATGTACAGGCCACATACGCATTCTAAATGAAATTGAAGTTTTTTTAAAGACGCATCTTTCTTTGATCATGATATTTTGAACATGCTAACTAAACATAACTCGTTTTGAATGGCACTGAGCGACAAACTAGGCATTTACTTTGCTCATGGGGTCTTTCCAAATTATGAGTACTGTATCCAAATATATATAAGGCTGATATGGAATTAATAAAGTTATAAATCTTACATTATCGTCGCAGCTGACTATTTTAACAGAGCATAGTATGATATTTTGAAACAGAAAATTGTAAATCTGGCCATGACAGACTTTGTGTATTTGGTTTATCATAATCATAGCTGCAACTTTGTTATCCTTAAATCCAATTGTGTGATCCATCACTTGATTGTCTGGACCATCATGATCACTTGATTGTCAAGACTCGATTGTTTACAGGTTACCGTCGTACGGCGGCGCCAGACAACAAGCACCTGCTCTTTTTGCATATTGTGTGAGTGGCGGATGCTAACGGTAGAGCAGGCCATGCTTGCCCTTTTCGCGAACACCTAGTGTTACTGTTGATTTCCAGTTATGCTTCATATACTTTTTACAGCTATTGTGCGACCCGTGAAGATTCCGGGGTAGAATAGGTCTTCAGCAACCCATACTTGCCGTAAAAGGCGATTATGCTTGTCGTAAAAGGCGACTAACGGGATCGGGTGGTCAGGCTCGCGGACTTGGTTGATACATGTCATCGTTCCCAATTGCGTGGATCGATGCTCATGATATAAATCACTGGATTGTCTGGTCAAGACTCGATTATTTACAGACCGCCGTCATAAAGCTGGAATATTGCTGAGTGCGGCGTTAAACAACAAACCAACCAACCAACCAACCAAGCAACAGCTACTGTGCATATTACGCTCTATGGTTTCTGTTTCGGCAGATAATCGAGTCTGATTATCCTCTAGCCATGAAGTGTTATATTTACATGAGATGATGTCTATCTGTTATATTCCCACTTCGCGCTAGACTTTTCTTCCAAAGCGTAGGTCGATGATGAACTCAAATTACCAATTATGACATAAAAGTGTATAACTCACTGCATCCGACAGGACCTTCTACCGTCATGTCTCGGGGATATCCACTGTGTGGATATATCATTGGGCTTCCGCTGTGCCACGACAGACATAAGTACCATGTTCACCTCGCTCCATATATCATGCATCTTCAAAATGCAATTTGCCTATACCAGACCATAAATCTGGCTAATAAACTGAATCAATTCTTTTAAATTGTTGTGCAAGGCTAAAAACATAAGCAAAATGCATGCCATTATAAATTAATATTGTTGGGCTGGTGTGTGTGGGAGGGGTGTTGAGGGGGATGAGGGGGGATGTGAAGGAGGGGAGCGAAAACCCAGCTGATCAAACAATTTTATTTGTGTACATCCTGAGCTTTACCGTTTTTTTTCTGGAACAAATTATTTATTTTCCCGCAAATCTCAGGCCCTGTCCCTTATGGGTTAATATTTACCTCCAAATATCAACTATGTCGCTAAGTGCGGCTATGAAACCACATAATTATATATGTTTCTACTTCAACATTTCTTTTCCTTGTTTTCAGGCTTGACGCGCCCTACACCATCAGTCACAACAACCCTGAGCGTCTGAAGACAGCCAGCACACCAAGGAGATACACTGGTTGCCATCCTCAACAGAACATCCATCATTAACTGATCCGTTGTGTCAAAACTGCGGTTTAACTGTGATGAATGAAAGCCATATTGATCTGACATGCTCGTCGCTGTAACGGCAGACTGATCCTCTCCAGCTCTACACCATGCCGACCTTCGGGGATGGTATTGTAGTGATGTCGTCTTTAAAAGGAGTCGTCGTATTAGTTGTTACTGTAGCGTTCCTTCTTTCGGCGTTAATGTGGAGCCTTCCTGGGGATAATGAACACACGCAATGGAGAGTCTCATCAAGGAGAGCCACCTCTGCGAACCGTGTTAAGGAAAGAGTTAAAAAATCAGCTTTAACTCAAGGGACATGTGAGGTTCTGACACCATCGGAAGACGACTTGAGACTTTTACGTCTTCTTTCGCGGGTTTCTAATGAGGAAATGGACGGGAAACCTCACAGGAGAACAAATGAGCAGGGTGATGTGGCCAGGCTGGTGACATGCTTGGTTCAGGATGACTGTGGGGGACGGGAATCGGTATTATGCAAGACAAATATCTGTTCCCACTTCACGGTTAAAATGGGACCCCTAAGCCATATCATACACGATGTGTCCCTTGAGGCACTGGGCGAGATTGTGAGGCTACGAGGAAGCAACACAACTGGAATCGATGTGATCTGTGACAAGGGAAAGACGAAAACCGTTCACGATACCTGGCAGAGTTTAGAAATTCGGCGTAGCAGGCTTTGTGAACGTGATGAGAACGAAACGGAATATCCTCAAAACATCCATATAATTAACGTGAGGTTTCTATCACGATGGGAGTTGTTTGCTAGGATGAAGAGGCTGAGTGACCTGGTCACATCCAAACCCCAGCACGGAATGAGAGTGGTAGATTTCTCGAAGTACCAGAGCCTTGTGTGGGAAGACATTGACAATCTCAGGGCTCTACTTCAGGGACAGGTAGTTCAAAACGATTCCAAACCCACACTCATTGACATCGCCAGACAAAATGGATTCAGTGTAAGAGTATTTGATTTATCAGAAGAGGATTATCATCGGTCTCTTGACTTAAAACATATCTTAGAAAACAGTAGCACAGAGTGCTTATTCGGTGGAGAACGTGACAAACCGTTTGATAACATCCCATCGTGTGAGTGTTCCGTTTACCAAGGGGCTGAATATACTCCTGAACAAAAGTTGGAGGAATTGCGAAAATGCTTATCCAACATTAATGACATTCCCACGACAAAGAGAGTACTGACGATGACATTTATGGAAAACACACATTGGGAATCCTCCACTGAAAAGGCTGTTGATGATGCTATTACTGACACTATTAACAGCGTCATCCACGCCGACATGGACTCCATCGTTATACTGTTGAGCGACGTCGGGAACCCATCTTTCTCCCGACTTGACCACTCACTATTCATGCAAACCCAGTCCTCAAATCCCTTCCTCTTTATTTTCTACCCTTCATCTTCTGAGAATGAAAGAAAACTGGCAGTTCTGGTCCAGAACAGAGATAAATTGATTTCTGTAGAAGACATTCATCTAACGATTTCGGATTTAATTTCCCTAGTTCCGACTGCTGACTATGCGAGTAAACACGTATGGGATCCCAGTCGATACCGAGGACTATCTTTGTTGAGATCTATAATCCCTTCCCGTTCTACCCAACAACTAGGAATAAGAGCCCCTAGTTTCCCTATATGTGAGTCGAGAACACTACACTATCCTAATGATACCATACAAGCTGCATTTGCCGAGACGGCCGTGGGCTTCATTAACAACTATATACAAGGACGGATGAAGACGGATAAAAGGATTAGAGACAGGTGTCGTCCAGTGGTAGGTGTAAGATTTCGTAATGTGCGAAAGTCTCACCAACACGGCAGGAGTGTGACCTTTATGGATTTAGAAATAAAAGCCGTCTCCACAAAGAAGGTTCTACTCTTAAATGATATTACTGTAACATTGAAACCTGAATCTAATAACAACCATACTTTGGAGATCAACGCAAAGGAAGGGGGTATGAAGACATTGCTTGAGGGACAAATCCTTCCATTAGTGTGTTCAGGTGACCTGGATGTGAACTTTTCACTAATCTCGAAGTCTAAAATCCCGTTACTTCTTCGAAGCGCCTTAAGCTTTGGGGCTAAACCACGAATGATACGGGTTCATGGAGAATGCCTGTTTTTGCTGGTGCGTGGTTTTACTGACAGCGCTGGGTACTACGTCATGAACGTTTGCTATGATAGGCAGTACGACTTCATTTTCAGCGGCCGACTGATCAACGTGTTTTCCTTCGTCAAGTTACCAGTGAAATTAACGGTTAAACCTGGCCAGATGTACTTTGTGACAACGTTTGTTAAGACGTCCTACTTTGTCCATGAATTGTCCTTCCGCTATGAAACACGTCACCATATGACGTTACTCTGAAACTTGACACCATATGACGTGCCCATGAAACATGTCGATGTGTAACATTGCTGTGAAACGCGTCATTCAATGACATGACTTTGAAACACGTTATGGTACGTGTGCAATTACTATTAAACTCTGAAGGACATTGCTGTTTTATGTGTCAAAAATGACATAACTATCAAACACGTCATGACGTGACGTTTATATGCAATGCGTCATTAACTGGCTTGACAGACGTAATGTTATGATATTGCAATCAACATCTATTTAAATCAATCACTACATTCGCCACACACTATCCGAGAGAAAACGTCAACACACACTAGATAAACATATTTTAGAGTGAGTGAGTGAGTATGGTTTTACGTCGCTTTTAGCAATATTCCAGCAATATCACGGCGGGGGACACCCCAAATGGGCATCACACATGTCGGGAATCGAACCCTGGTCTTCGGCGTGACGAGCGAACGCTTTAACCACTAGGCTAACCGACCGCCTCTCATGTTTTATATACACATACACTAAACACACATGTTTACATACAACCTTGGTATCGAGACATATTAACGTACATTTCGAGAGAAATATATCCAACTTTCGACACTTATAAATCCATTATCCGAAGTAGGGCTTCGATAAAATGCGATATCGAGATATCGGGTTTGATACACCTGCATGGATATATGACACACACTTTGGGTGGTGATACACATAATGTTTCGACTGAAACAGGTATTCTAGAATAGACTGACGCTTAACGTGACTTAATAAATCATATGTTCCAATTTTCGGCTCTTTCATATTTTCTTGACATAATATCGCTTTACATGTATAATCCTAACTGATTTAACTTACCATCACAAGCCTGTGACAATATATACTATGCCAATGTGTATCTCACTGAGGACAGTTTACATGAGTGAGTGAGTGAGTGAGTGAGTGAGTGAGTGAGTGAGTGAGGTTTTACGCCGCTTTTAGCAATATTCCAGCAATATCACGGCGGGGGACACCAGAAATGGGCTTCACACAATGTACCCATGTCGGGAATCGAACCCGGGTCTTCGGCGTGACAAGCGAACGCTTGAACCACTAGGCTACCCGACCGCCCCACAGTTTACATGAAGAGTGCCTATCTTGTTGGGATTTTGTAGTATGAACATAAGGGTCAAATTCTTTGGAGAAAGGAAATTTGTGTATGACTTGGAACTATTTTATAGCTTTCTAAAAGTCCAAATTGAAACTCGCCAAATGCACGACATAAATGTACCTCCACACGAACTAGACACACTTCTATGCGAGTTTTATGATGTTTGATAAACATAAGGGGAAATTATGAACCAACCAGTCTCACGGGGTTTCAGGGCAGTATCGAGAGATCACTAATACACAGTGGGTATGGCTATTTCCTCACGTCATCCTTAGAACCTTCAAGATCACGGGAGGTATTAAAATGGGGGGGGGGGGGGGGGGGGGGGGGGGCACGGGTTGCCCAGTCGCCTAAGGCGCCGCGATTCGCTGTGCAGAGTTGCGTCCCTTGGGCACGCCAGAAACCTATGATTGTGGGTTCGAATCCCGGTTCGCCCCGATTATGTTTCTAGGTTTGTCAGCACCATAACCGTGCTCGTGGGTTTCCCCGAAGTGGTAAACGTCTGAGACCTGCATCACTTTGGGCTTTCCTCCCACATTAAGCTGACACGCCGTGATATAACTGGAATACTGTTAATAAAGCGGCGTTAAACCAAACTCACTCACTCACTATTAAAAGGGAGGAAAATTGAACTAAAAACATAAGGTAGTCGCAACTTACCAAGGATAGCCGATCCGAGCAGTGATGAATAGATCAGAGTCCCTGTAGCAGTCTGAATCCATTGGAATTAATAATCCAGTGAGAATGATAAACTGTCTATGAGCTCTACAACACAATCCATTTCGGGTTAGTGAGTGAGTATGGTTTTACGCCGCTTTTAGCAACATTCCAGCAATATCACGGCGGGGAACACCAGAAATGGGCTTCACACATCGTACCCATGTCGGGAATCGAACCCGGGTCGTCGGCGTGACGAGCGAACGCTTTAACCACCAGGCTACCCGACCGCCCCACATTTCGGGTTAAGGGGCGTCACTGATCACAACATGTGTTGTGGGGACATCACCTTGCATGGTGACGGAGACGATCAAGATTATCTTGAACTGTTCATGAAACAAGAAAAGAATAGGTCCGGTGAGAATCCTCGTGATTGTCCTCGCCTCCAAAACGTGGTCTAATGTTTCCGATCCCTCTCGATCCCTGTGCAGGTGTATAAGTTGTTTGCTTCCACGCGTCCGCTCGACATCTGTCGCGATGACGATCCCTTTGAAATCGGCACACGTACTTTAGGCATGCCTAAACCTGGCTCGTATTGGGGAAAAACAAACTTTCATCACTCATGAAAAACATGTGCAATGCCGCCAGTCTCCAAATATCGAAACTCATCACTCATCACTCTGCGAATAAACACCTTGTGCAAAGTTGAATGACAATAATGTTCCGCCAGATCAAAAATTAATCCAGATAACTGATTAAAAAAAAACATTCATTCTATGAACAATTACTGCCATATTAATCTTTACCAGCACAAACAAATATCCAACAGAATTTCAGGAAACACTCCATTCCACACAGTGACATCCCAGCGTGTTGATGAAACTCCCGTCATGCAGAGCGGCCCCTCGGGTAATGTCTAAATCGTCAGTAGACAAAACAGTTAGCAGTCTCAAATTATAAATGTCACTGCTGGTGTGATCACTATGTTTGCTGGCAACATTACTGGTGTAAACATAAATCTAAAAGCCCCGTTCCAATCAAAAGACGCCGGAACATTGTCACTTAAAGTGACAGCGACACCGACTTAAGGTGAGATGAAATTGGGTTTAACGTCGCGTCCAAGATTATTGCACTTATATAGCGACGTGCATGCACGTGTGTGTGTGGCTGCTTGTACCAGTTCGGACTGATGCCGATTTATAGTGCTAGCACACTGAGATACCATGCCGAAGTTTAACATGAATACCCCTCAGACACAGTAAATTGACTACGAGCCGACCAGTCCTTGTTTTAGCCCCTTAATGCCGAGCGCCAGACAGAGTATCAACAAGTACCATCTTTTAACGTCTTTTGGTATGACGCGGCCGGGGATCGAACTCCGAACCTTCCGCTCTCCGGGAGGACGCTCTACCACTAGACCACGGAGGCGGTCGACACCGACTAAAGCATACTCTGACCTCCCCTCCCACGAGACATTGTTCAAGTGAGATCGCGGTTTGATTCGAAGGCAAAATATCAGTGAAACTATACCCGAGGTATAATCAAATGACACAGAATCGTTGTTGGTACCGTTATTAAAGTATCAAATTATTCTGCAAATTTCTGTTCAATTATATATTTTCTTAGATAATGCTAGGAACTTTTTTCCAAACGGATGAATATGCCCCAAAAGAGTAAACAGGTTATTTATTTTGGTTCACAGTAACGTTACACGGCAATGAAGAATATGTATTACTACGCACGATATATACGTAAGATTTCTATGATTTTGTGATTAGTATGCATTTCTTTCTTAAAAGAGATACAATAATGTGAAAATGATAAATAGAATTCATCACTCGTGTTTTTTTTTTAAAAAGGGAGATATCAACCTCGTCCCGTTGATCGGTAGTTTCTGAGCCTTATAACAAAGGCTCGGTTGATATTTCCCATATTAAAAAACACTCGTGATGAATCCTGTATTTATCATATTAAAGTGATACTATGTTTTGTCAAACTTCTATTCCCTAAATCATGTCAAGGAACACATGTTTTAACCATACCAATTTCGTTTATCTGACCACCGGTGCCAAACAAAAACATTTAAATAGGCATTAACACTAGGTCATATTCATAAATGTTCCACGTATACCAGAGTAGCATCCTGTAGCTGATCATGAGTTCCAATCACGGTCACTTCTATGACCCTGTGGGGCGGTCGGGTAGCCTAGTGGTTAAAGCGTTCGCTCGTCACGCCGAAGACCCGCGTTCGATTCCCGACATGGGTACAATGTGTGAAGCCCATTTCTGGTGCCCCCCGCCGTGATAATGCTGGAATATTGCTAAAAGCGGCGTCGGCGTAAAACCATACTCACTCACTCACTCTATGACCCTGTACGCACAGTACTACGAGGGCTCTCTGACTCACATGGGGGGAATTGCGTAATAGTGAAATAGTTCGTTGTGGACATTATAAGTTCAACTTGTCAACCGATCTCAAGGAGTATATGGTGTGATGTATCATGTGGGTGAGGCAATGTACCCCTAGCCATCATAGGCCCATTGGCGCACACGCAGGCTGCATCATATTATATTCCCCTTGAGATTGGTTAACAACAAATTGATCACCGACATTAATTCTCCAGACCCGGATTACATGTCAGAAGTTTCACCAGTAAAACGCCTTGATTCCGCCATTTTGACAGCTAGCAGGCGACGCAAACGAACCGAGTTACTTCCCTTTACCCAATGCATTCGAAGAGACATGGGTTTATTTCAGCTAACGATGCTTATACGAGATAAGCAAGTTACCTACGATGTGTTCCGATTGATTTCTCAGCGGGGTAAATGAGCGGCTACATTGAAAATTTGAAAATAACTGCCCGCCCCTTAACCAATCAGAGGCTCGTATTTTAATGTAAGGTGAGATAATAAATGCTGTCATTTAATATAAAAATAAGAATCTTAGTCATTGAAGCAAATTGCTTCGCCGTGACAAGTCGGTAAAACAAACAGGGTCTCTAACCTTTGGAAAATGGACAAACGTGACGAACGTGCAGTGATCAAGGACTTGCAGAAGGCTGGACATTATACCACATTCCATCCATGCAGATATGCGCACAACACCAGGGAATGATGCCCATCTCCATCCCACCAGCAGCACCAGCAGCATCTAAGTCTAAGCGTAGCGAGGAGAGCCTTGAAGGGTACCCCTGTCCTGGTAGGCATGCGACGTTAAAAACGTACCAGGCGAACACATTTTTGCACTGAATTGTGACCCGACATCACCTCTTTCAAACAACAGTGAAAACAGTGGACAAATTTGACCACCACCACAGCAGGCAAAGACTGTTCCATCAGCTGGAACAATTATATATAGCCTCCATATTTTGGGGGGTCCCAAGGGTATAGCAATGGTTGACTATCTTTAAAACTAAATTAGGAACATATTATGCTGCGCGTTTGAGGAAACTACGGGATGAAATTAAGAAGTGAAAAACTGAGAAAGGGTTTGCTCTTCCATCAGATCAATGCGCGAGTGCACAATAACGATTCGGTCATCACCGCGGCTGTAATCCACGAACATGGCTTTGAACTCCTCCAGCACCCACCTTCTTCTCCTGCTCCGACCTCTATCAGCTACTTCCAAACATGACTACAGCTCTTACCCCAACCCATTCCGAATCGAACAACGTCGTCATGGCAGCTGTAGAGACCCTTTTTGAGAGCCCAGAAGACTTCTATAAAACTCTGATAAAATCTCTCAAGCATCTTTAGCAAAAATCTATCAATGTGGAAGTGGATTATGTTAGGAAATAAATAATGTTAATGTATTTATATCTCAGGTCAAGTCTATCCATATGAGGCTCAGAACTTCAGAAATCAACCCTCGATGGAAACGTGACAGTTATTGTGACATTTGATCTGAGCCTCTGCATTCGGTACTTGATGGAAATGTGATAATTGTAGAATTTTGTCACTGGCTTACCGCGCATGTAGGTACTAGAGTAGTTTGAAAAGGTGATTTATTGTGGTATTTGTATGATGGCCTACCGTGCATCTTCTATACTAAATGGAGATGAAGCGGTTATTAACATAATGGTATTTGTTTCATGGCCTACCGTGCCTTTTCTGTACTGGATGGAGATGTGGCGGTTGTTGTGGTATTTATTTCATGGCCTACCGTGCATTTTCTGTAGTAGATGCAGATGTAGCGGTTATTGTGGTATTTGTTTCATCGTCTACCAAATATCTCATATACAAGATGGAGACGTGGCGGTTGTTGTGGTATTTGTTTCATGGCCTACCGTGCCTTTTATGTACTGGATGGAGATGTGGCGGTTGTTGTGGTATTTATTTCATGGCCTACCGTGCCTTTTCTGTACTAGATGCAGATGTGGCGGTTATTGTGGTATTTGTTTCATCGTCTACCAAATATCTCATGTACAAGATGGAGACGTGGCGGTTGTTGTGGTATTTGTTTCATGGCCTACCGTGCATTTTCTGTAGTAGATGCAGATGTAGCGGTTATTAACATAATGGTATTTGTTTCATGGCCTACCGTGCATTTTCTGTAGTAGATGCAGATGTAGCGGTTATTTTTGGTATTTATTTCATGGCCTACCGTGCATTTTCTGCAGTAGATGCAGATGTAGCGGTTGTTGTGGTATTTGTTTCATCGTCTACCAAATATCTCATGTACAAGATGGAGATATAGCGATTGTTGTGGTATTTATTTCATGGCCTACCGTGCATCTTCTGTACTGGATGGAGATGTGGTGGTTATTGTGGTATAGGGGCGGTCGGGTAGCCTAGTGGTTAAAGCGTTCGCTCGTCACGCCGAAGACCCGGGTTCGATTCCGAACATGGGTACAATGTGTGAAACCAATTTCTGGTGTCCCCGCCATGATATTGCTGGAATATTGCTAAAAGCGGCGTAAAACCATACTCACTCACTATTGTGGTATATGTTTCATTGCCTACCGTACATCCGTACAGTAGACTGAAATGTGGCATTTAGTGTAGTACATTTAGTGTGGCCTTCCGCTCTCGTACGTTAGGTACTTAGTTGAACGATGACGTTTATTATCAGTGGTATTTGGTCGAAGGCCTACTGTGCATCAACTACTGGATGGAACGGTGACGGTTTTTGTGTTTACTGTTCCGTGGCATTGCCATTTCAGCATTTCAATCAATGCAGTGGGAATAATGACGGGAAAATATAGCTATTTTTAACCTGCAACAATATTGATCCAGTTATGTCCGATCGCTGACTTCAATCCGTGCTCTGGGAATAGCAAGAAGCAAATGCATACATGATCAGCAAAACTACCCAATTATTTTAATTAATTGCCGCTTAAATTTTGTACCCAGTGTAATAAAGTATATGTGAGCCCTGTTCTAAAACTTTCTGAGGAAAATACAATTGTTCATTGATTAAATCTATGTTCTCCTCATCATGTCTAATTATAATGTCCGGACCGTCTCCGTGGTCTTGTGGTAGATCAGGGGTTCCATCCCCGGCCACGTCATACCAAAAGTCGTTAAAATATGGTACTTGTTGTTACCCTGCCTGGCACTCGGTATAAGGGAACTGGTCGACTCGGAGTCAGTAAACTGTGTCTGAGTGGGGTATTCATGTTAAACTGCGGCATGATATCTCATGTCAGGTGGCTAGCACTATAAAATCGACATTAATCCGGACTAGTACAAGCCGCCACACGCACACACGAACACACGAACGCACGCACACACGCACGCACACATGCACTTCGCTGTATAAGTGCAGTAAGCATGTATGCGACGTTAAGACCACATCTTGTTATTTCCGAAAAGAAAATTCCAAAAATCATTTTAATTTGTTTATTGCCCTTAATATAACAACGTTCATGCAATGGGCGAGGTTATGAAATCGTGAACTTCAACAAAAAATTGGAACTGTCGGAATTAATATTATTACATTTTTGGTCTCATTAGTAATGATATGGCGATATTTTAATGTGTTCGTTCTTTAAGCTTTGGCAAACCTAGTGTTTAAATAACGTTGTCAATAATTTGATTTCAGTATAATCTGATTAGTAATTTGAAGAGAATCACTCATAGAGTGACTGCCGTCGTTTCCCGAAGGCAAGATAGGTGTTCATGCTATCAACCGCTTGTTTCCCACCTCACATTTAGTCAAATGATCGGTGAGACGTTGTTGACGTTGTTGACGTTGTTGAACAAATAAGACGTTGCCTGTCCTCCAGCGCCATACATGTTTTAAATGGCCACATAAATCCGCCAAGAATAGGACTTATCAGCATCGTGTGTTGAAATATTGCAATTGTAAAGAAAGAACATATTTATCTGTGTTCAATTTGTCACTTTCTGTTTACTGAAACTAATCCCCGTAGACTAATCTCAAGCAGCGTATCAGCAGAATGTTCATTACATGACATATTGTGACTGTAGTTTTAACTGTTGGATTTACTCAGGCAGTAACGAGTTTCATTCATGGACTATCGCATGCCACAGCAGGATGGTTTTTGGTTTGTAAGTCTATTGAAAGTATATCCTCCTCCTCCTCCTCCTCCTCATCATCATCATCATCATCATCATCATCATCATCGTTTCTGGTTCTCTTGTACAATCACTGCTAGCCAGTAACTCGCCACACCCGAATGAAATCCGGTTTAGAACTGAACCAAAGGAACTTATGCCCATCGTGATAGGCGACCTGATGGTATCGGGTGATGGTCAGACTCGGTGACCTGGTTGATTCAATGTCAACGTACCCCGACGGCGTGAGACGCTGCTCATAACATCCTTCACTGGACTGTCTGATCCAGATTCCATTATCAGACGGCCTTTCTTCCAGCATGTGTGGAGACAGACCGTTGTGTTTACAAGCTCACTAGACGTTGTCTACTGCTTCCACATTTATTATTTTGCTGGTTTGTCATATTGGATAGCGTCTTTATCTAACATCAGACAATGGGACGATGAGAATGTTATGGAGAATATGGATTCTTTCCGCTATCACGGAGTCACAAACATATATTTATCCATGAAGCAGTAACTATGTCATTAACGACGATTAACATACAAATACTTAAATTTCCCAAGATGTGTGGTTGGAGAGTAATTTTAAAAAGCATCCTAAAATGGTCGCATCAGAGATGCCAGACATGATACAGGAGGGCACCAAAGGTATAACGCTCGGGGAAGGAGCTTGTGAAATCATAAAATATCATTCCTAATAAGCCGAGTGAAGCCCTGTGTATGATAAACTTTAGGACAATATGTCGATTTGACCCGAGTGGAACAATAGATGTCTGCTGTCAGTTTAATTGTCAGTGTCGTGTCATTCATACAGGTCATTCTCCATGGTCACAAGGCTGCTTTTGTCGGTGTCTGCGGATGCCTTCACTGTAGTCATTCTCAACCCGCCATCCTCCTGAATCCCATGGACAAACTTCCGGCAGTCGACCGTAGCATACTCGTTAGAAGTGTCCACTTCCTCAGCCAAGTGGTGGTTATCCTGATTGCTGGTGTCTATGCCGCTATCTCTGAACTGACACACCGCCGTCTCGCCCGTCAGCTGCCTCACGCGAAACCTATTGCTGCTGAAAAAAAAATTAAGTAATTACAAATATTTTGTAATATATTCACAATATTAGGATAATTGTGTATTTTGTTCGAGATACAAGTAACGTGTTCGATATCGTAAGACATAGCTATAAGTAGTTGACCTCCTGTGGATGCTGACGAGAGTACGTGTTATATTTACTGCCGATCAGTTACGGAACATATTCTTGCATGAACATGTAGATAGAAATATGATGCATACACACACCTGCAGCAATATGCGATACAAGCACCTGCAACAAAACACGCGACAGCAACACCCATGAGGCAGCTGGCCAACACTGTCACTGACACTGAAGAAAAAACATCATTGCCGTTCCCTTTAATTGAACAATTATTGAATGACCACGTACACTAAACACTGATCCTCAAGATCCTACAAGAGGCATATCATTGTATCCATATACCATTACATGTAGCTTTGAATCACAGTGGTATCCGTGATTATTTCATATTATGTGTTTACAAAAGCTCTTTATGGTTTTGTACAATATATTCAATTGAAAAAGAAATGTAGATACATTGAAAGTAAAGCGCAGGCGACCAGTGCGTAGTGAGGAAGTCAGTTTGACCAGCAAGTGAATACCTTGTGTGAGTGTCTCTGAAGGTCGACGTGGAAACGTTTCGCAGTTGAGGGATAAAGTTGTTTTGTCTGTAGAACATAGTAAGTGAGTGAAATGGTTTTAATGCGGCTTATATGACCATATGTATATAGAGACACTGATGCAGAGATCCATCACTACACAATGATCATAGAGAGACACTGATGCAGAGATCCATCACTACACAATGATTGTTGAAAGACACTTTAACAGAGATTTGTAATTACACAATGATTATAGAGAGACACTATTCAAAGATCCGCCACTATGCAATGATTATAGAGAGACACTATTACAGAGATCCATCACTACACATTGATCATAGAGAGACACTACTACAGAGATCCGTGACTACACAATGATCATAGAGAGACACTAGTACAGAGATCCGTGACTACACAATGATCATAGAGAGACACTAGTACAGAGATCCGTGACTACACAATGATTATAGAGAGACACTATTACAGAGATCCGTGACTACACAATGATCATAGAGAGACACTAGTACAGAGATCCGTGACACTATTACAGAGATCCGTGACTACACAATGATCATAGAGAGACACTATTACAGAGATCCGTGACTACACAATGATCATAGAGAGACACTAGTACAGAGATCCGTGACTACACAATGATCATAGAGAGACACTAGTACAGAGATCCGTGACTACACAATGATCATAGAGAGACACTAGTAAAGAGATCCGTGACTACACAATGATCATAGAGAGACACTAGTACAGAGATCCGTGACTACACAATGATCATAGAGAGACACTAGTACAGAGATCCGTGACTACACAATGATCATAGAGAGACACTAGTAAAGAGATCCGTGACCACACAATGATCATAGAGAGACAATATTACAGAGATCCGTGACTACACAATGATTATTGAAAGACACTTTAATAGAGATCTGTAACTACACACTGATTATAGAGACACTATTTCAGAGACCCGTCACTACACAGAGACACTATAACCGAGATCAGTCACGACATAATGATACCAGTGCGATAATATTATAGAGATCCGTCACAACACAATGACCGTAGACAGACACTATAACAGTGATTGAGTGAGTGAGTTTGGTTTAACGCCGCTTTTAACAGTAGTCCAGTTATATCACGGCGTGTCAGTTTAATGTGGGAGGAAATCCCGAAGTGATGCAGGTCTCAGACGTTTACCACTTCGGTGAAACCCACGAGCACGGGTATGGTGCTGACAAACCTAGAAACATAATCGGGGCGAACCGGGATTCGAACCCAAAATCATAGGTTTCTGGCGTGTCCAAGGGACGCAACTCTGCACAGCGAATCGCGGCGCCTTAGACGACGGGGCCACCCGTGCCCCCGACACTATAACAGAGATCCGTTGCTTCATAATGATTATGGAGAGGTGAGCTGAAATTGGGTTTAACGTCGCGTCCAAGATTATTGCACTTATATAGCGACGTGCATGCACGTGTATGTGTGTGTGTGGCTGCTTGTACTAGTCCGGACTGATGCCGATTTATAGTGCTAGCTCACTGAGATACCATGACGCAGTTTAACATGAATACCCCACTCAGACACAGTATACTGACTCCGAGCCGACCAGTCCTTGTTTTAGCACCTTAATGCCGAGCGCCAGACAGGGTAACAACAAGTACAATCTTTTAACGTCTTTTTGTATGACGCGGCCCGGGATCGAACCCTGGACCTTCCGCTCTCCGGGCGGACGCTCTACCACAAGACCACGGAGGCGGTCTCGATTATGGAGAGAGACAATGTTAAGAATATACAAATATACAAGGATGACAGAATAACAGCTTCAAATACACTGACCTGATGACCGTACGGAGAAACAATACGTGGATGAGTCATCGTCAGCGTTACGTGATGCATTTCTTTTCCTCACGACAAAGTTCCAGGGGCTTTCTTCATCAATTGGCTTTATAATGTTTTCAAATGACACATTACTCGCATTTACTGTCACATCAGGGGTAAGTATGTATATATCAAACAGTTGGTGCATAGCAGGGTAGTGTCGCCTGGCAACAAGTAAATCCCGGGTGTATCTGTTCACCGTTAGCTGACATACACACATAGACAGGTGCGGTTGCAGGTCTTGCGGATGGAGGCGGATGCTGCCCATGGTGAAGCTGAACTCATCTTGAGGACGCCGACAGATGTTAATCACTGTTTGACAAGAGAATGTGTTACAGTTATAATTATACAATGATGGATTCACACAGTGTTGGATTTTATACTCGATGGCTTGTTAAATGCGTAACGTTAAGGCAAGGGACTTTACAGAACTCCATCATTAAATACAGATCATACAGAACACCGATTTTAGAAAGATGAATCACATTACCATAGCGTATGACAATATTACAGACAACCATGAAGACAGAGAGTGACGATATACTACAGAGATTTATCACTACACAATGAGGGGCGGTCGGGTAGCCCAGTGGTTAAAGCGTTCGCTCGTCACGCCGAAGACCCGGGTTCGATTCCCGACATGGGTACAATGTGTGAAGCCCATTTCTGGTGTCCCCCGCCGTGATATTGCTGGAATATTGCTAAAAGCGGCGTAAAACCATACTCACTCACTCACTCACTCACTACACAATGAACACAGAGAGTGACAATATATTACAGACATCCATCACCACACAGTGAACACAGAGAGTGTCACTATTACAAAGATCCACTACAACACAACGAACGCAAAGAGTGACAATATATTACATATATCTATCACTACACTATGAACACAAAGAGTGACAATATTACAGAGATCTATCACTACCCCATCCCGGTATATGTCACGTCCATTTCACTTTACATATGTGTAATATATAATTTGTAACAAAAATTAAAGAGGAAAACTATGATTATGGCGACCAACCATTCGGTAAAATATTTTTGTAGTAAGCGCTCCAAGAGTTAAACAGGTTATCCGCCCCACAAAACATTATTTCTAAGTACAGCCAGCAGCAGGCAGTAAATCAGGGCGGGGAGGGGGTGGGGGTTTCGGGTCCTTAGCATTATATTAATTCCATCGGAATCACATGTTTCACAGAACCCCTGATGAGTCTTGTAAAACCTCTGCACACCTAAAACTATAAAAAACACATACAACATATACATCATGTATACTTACATTGGAATCCTTGATCGGGGCAGTTTCCACGAGCAGGTCGAATACACACTAGATATAGAAGAGACCAGATAAACAGTTTATATATCGATGTTTTGGAGTTTCAACAACAACAACAATAACAACAACAACAATAATAATAATAATAACAACAACAACAACAACTTTCTGTCCCTTTTGACACTAATGTGATTGACAATATTCAGGAAATACATGGCAAATATGCAGACCTCGTTTTCGAAATGTCACGCTTGCATCCCAAGTACCAAGTTGTTCGACTTCCCATTGTTCTCGGTGCCTAAGGTTTGGAACCTCCCAATGTGTTGACTGACATTGGGAGAGTACCAGGGTTTGCTACCAGGAATACAGCCCTTCTGACAATCTGGGTAATGCAGAAGGCTGCAGTGTTGGGGAGTCGTCACATTCTCCGAAAGGTTCTGGGTGGGTTTGTCTTGGCAGCGCTTCCTGGGAGAAGTCCCATTCGCTGTCTGGGATGCGTGTAGAGGGGGCAAGGGCCCTGAACTGATGATGAACCTAACCAACCTGATTGTAATAATAATAATAGTAATAATGATGATGATGATGATGATACTACTACCACTATGCTTGAAAAGCTCCATACGCGATGTATGTTTAAGACTTCACCCTTCATTCCTTCAAACACAAACGAACATGACCTTCCAATAAATGGTGCCTGCACACACTGCATATGAGTTATATGAACATGATACAGTAGTGGTGAACAGCGGTTAGACTTCATCTCAAGATGTCTATGTACAATATTTTCTACTTACGTTGGATTATGATCATAAAGTAGCCAGCCACCATTGCATACGACGTGTCCATGCTCAGTGCTGAGAGGTTAACCGGTGTAATATCTCCACATCTGTCTCCGTAACACGTGGTCACCATGCGGAAGTCTCACCACACAGTTTAACTTGCGTACCATACGCATCATATCCAGAAGAATATGTCCACTGTTCACATTCCAAATAAGGATTATCAGTTGAACACACCACTGTAATGATGGGAACAGATTCTAAAGGTTATTATGGGGTTCGGAAGGTGATATCATCAGTTTGATATTTCAAGCGCCAGAGTGTGTAATCACTGCGCCTATTGTTCAAATTAGGATGATATAGAAATACTACAAGAGATCGACACCAGGCAACGAGATAGTCAATTCACCGGTCAACCTCTAGTCAGGCAACAGATCATGTCGTACTCTACTACTCTGAATCATGTACCACTTTCATATGATACTTACATACCATGAATAGCACATGACACTTACATACCAGCAATAGCACATGACATTTACATGCCAGAAATAGTACATGACACTTACATACCAGCAATAGCACATGACACTTACATACCAGCAATAGCACATGACACTTACATACCAGCAATAGCACATGACACTTACATACCACCAATAGCAAATGACATTTATATACCATCAATAGCACATGACATTAACATACCAGCAATAGCACGTGGCACTTACATGTACATACCAGCAATACCACATGACACTTACATACCAGCAATAGCACATGACATTTACATGCCAGCAATAGCATATGGCACTTACGTATCATCGATAACACTTGACACTTACATACCAGCAATAGCACATGACACTTACATACCAGCAATAGCACATGACACTTACATACCACCAATAGCAAATGACATTTATATACCATCAGTAGCACATGACATTAACATACCACGATAGCACGTGGCACTTACATGTACATACCAGCAATACCACATGACACTTACATACCAGCAATACCACATGACACTTTCATACCAGCAACAGCATATGGCACTTACGTATCATCGATAACACTTGACACTTACATACCAGCAATAGCATTTGACCCTTACATACCAGCAAAAGCACATGACACGTCCACACCAACACAGCACCCGCACGTCCATACTAGCAATAGCACATGTCACGTTCACACCAACACCAGTACATGTCACGTTCACACCAACACAGCACCCGCACGTCCACACCAACATCAGCACATGTCACATCCATACCAACACAGCACATGTCACGTCCACACCAACATCAACACATGTCACATCCATACCAACACAGCATCTGCACGTCCACACCAACACCAGTACATTTCACGTTCACACCAACACAGCATCGGCACGTCCACACCAACACCAGTACATGTCACGTTCACACCAACACAGCACCTGCACATCCACACCAACATCAGCACATGTCACATCCAGACCAACACAGCACATGTCACGTCCACACCAACACAGCACCCGCACCTCCATACCAACACCAGCACATGTCACGTCCAGACCAACACAGCACATGTCACGTCCACACCAACACAGCACCCGCACCTCCATACCAACACCAGCACATGTCACGTCCATACCAATCCCAGCACATGTCACGTCCATACCAACACCAGCACATGTCACGTCCAGACCAACACCAGCACCCGCACCTCCATACCAACACCAGCGCATGTCACGTCCAGACCAACACCAGCACATGTCACGTCCATACCAACACCAGCGCATGTCACGTCCATACCAACACCAGCACATGTCACGTCCTTACTAACACCAGCGCATGTCACGTCCATACCAACACCAGCACATGTCACGTCCATACCAACACCAGCGCATGTGACGTCCACACCAACACCAGCACATGTCACGTCCATACCAACACCAGCACATGTCACGTCCATACCAACACAGCACATGTCACGTCCATACCATCACACGTAACAACAAACACTGACACATTACAAACAAATACCAGCAAATTGCATTGCTGTTTTTGATGTGATACAATCACTAATATAATTCCTTTCCAAATGTCCTATAGCTACAAGTATGTTCCGTTCATCTGTTCACTAACACCGGGATGTGATATTAAAGAGACCAACACTGTTTTTTATGTGGCGTCATAACAAAAAGTCATGTTGACAGTAAGAGCTGATCCAGCACTGACTGGTCCCTGATTAAGGCTCGTTCCACTGTCATCTTCTCATAATAACCCGTGGAGACAGCCAGATGATTGTCAGTGATACTAATCACCGTCAATTGCTCATAACGCACTTGATGTATAGAGCACGGGCAGTTTCAGAATGTAACACATAGCGAAATGGACATAGCTATTCTCTATATATCTGTCATGCATTGTAAGTATTGCCTTTGTTCATTTCAAAATGCATGTTACAGGTAACTGGGAACCAGTTTCATGGTATATAGCAATATATGAACATATATGACTGTGCTTCTATAGGGATGTGGCCCGCGCTAGGTGCGGGTTCGGGATCTTATCTGAGTCAAATGTGGAATTGCGCTCATCCGGTTGACAAATCACTCGGGCATGCTGCCTTCAAGAGTGTACTCTACACGGGATACCATCTCTATATGCCTGACGTCCGTACATTCCAAAGGATGCTATTTTCGAGAATTCACAATTGGATTGTGGCCAATATTCAGAAATCTTGTTCGATTTCTTGAGCCACGTATGGCCCTGTGCTCGTAGGCTCCATAATCGACGTGTACATGATCCACTGATATAGTGTTCGAATCCTAACCCTATACCAGTAGTAGTAGAGACCCGTGAAGATTCCGGGGTAGAATAGGTCTTCAGCAACCCATGCTTGCCGTAAAAGGCGACTATGCTTGTCGTAAAAGGCGACTAACGGGATCGGGTGGTCAGGCTCGCGGAATTGGTTGATGCATGTCATCGATCCCAATGCGTGGATCGATGCTCATGATATTTATCACTGGATTGTCTGGTCCAGACTCGATTATTTACAGACCGCCGTCATATAGCTGGAATATTGCCGAGTGCGGCGTTAAACAATAAACCAACCAACTATACCAGTAGTATTGTTCAATAGACATTATTTCAAGTTGCGTTATGGGTTTGAATCAAGTGCCTCGTCCTCATAATGTCTTACGGCTTGTCAGCTCCAAACGTGCTCATGGGTTTCGCCAAAGTGATAAACGTTTGAGAGTTGCATTACTTCGGGCTTTTCTCCCATATTAGGCTGGCACGACGTGATATAACGGAACGAGTATTAAAAACTGCTAAATTCAACTCACTTAATCGCCAGTTGTATAAAGTATTCTACAATGTTTCAATATTTGTATTTCAGTGGCAATCTCGCATACCTGTCCACAAGAACACGAAGATAACTTAAGTAATTATAAACGACTTTTGTATTTTGTATATCTGGTCAACTCATATAAAGATGAGCGAACATGCGGTGTCTGTCAAATGATGAAATAATTAATTTGTCAGTCTCAGAATGCTAAACATGTTAATGGCAACCGCGACGACAGAAAGATATAATAGTTCCTAATGAGCGATGTTATGTTAATATGTGCATATTAACGTAGTGCTGTCCTGAGATTCATTACGCAAGTGTTGTTGCTCTTAACGCATGCTGTATTATTGTTCCCCTTCTTTCCACGTCAAGAAACCTAGAAGTCTTGTAGCAATGCGTTTGTCCACATGACAACATCTGTTGAAAATACCTACGATATGCTGCATGCATTAATCACTTCCAAACGTTATCACTTGATAACGTGTCTCTGTAATTTTGAAACAAACTGTTGAATGACATCCACCCACCTGCATATACACCGTACCTGCTCCTTGATAGCCCCCCACACACTTGTCGACACTCCTGCCAGTGGTACCTAACGTTTAAAAAAAAACAAAAAAAACCATTTCTCTATTTTTGGCACTCGCTCATTGATGCTGGCTAAAGCTACCAGAAGATTATTTACTTAATCAATAATTGATTTGTGTTTAATAATAATGCTTTAAGTACCAGTTTAAACAGTCATACCGTTAGTTAGGAACCTAGACGTCAAACAGACATTAATGCATGTTAGCGTTGATCTAATCGATTTCGCATTGGTAGCGATGCAGTCTTGATTAACGTGGTTCACTGTTTGATCTTTTGTTGCAGTTTTTGACATCTGCCAAACTCACACAGAGGTAGCGAATGTTTCAACATCCGGGTACCTCCGTCTTCGTGTCGGGTCATCACTGCTGGACTGCAACTGTACACTGTCCACGCCACGCCCTGACCACCTCCACGTGGGACTATACACAAATGGCTACTTCCCCCACAGCTTCAACCTGTTCGCGGGGCCGGTCAACAAGATAGCCGTCAACGCGGGTATAGTGGGGAAGGGGGTGGGGAGTGGGGCGGTCAGCAGCACCCAGCCCTGGCAACTGAACCTCAGCAGGAACTGGCATATCAAGCAGGGCAGTCAGACCAGCCAGAATGAGAGTCTTTGTCTGGGATATAGCGTCAGTGGTAAGTATATCTCTGTAGATACACGTTTAAAATGAGTGAGTGAGTAAGTGAGTTGGGTTTAACGCCGCTTTGAACAATATTCCAGTTATATCACGGCGTGTCAGCTTAATGTGGGAGGAAAGCCCGAAGTGATGCAGGCCTCAGGCCTTTCCCACTTCGGTGAAACCCACGAGCACGGGTATAGTGCTGACAAACCTAGAAACATAATCGGGGCGAACCGGGATTCGAACCCACAATCATAGGTTTCTGGCGTGTCCAAGGGACGCAACTCTGCACAGCGAATCGCGGCGTTTTAGACGACTTGGCCACCCGTGCCCCCCGTTTTAAATGAACGTTGCTGTGGATATACTTACCAACAAAAGAAACGCGAAATTGTAATGTATGTTAATTAACGAAGAACTACCAATCTTCAATAGATACTGTTATATTGTGTGAGCCGACGCTCATGAACGCATCACATATGACGTCATAGATCCATGACTCGAGATGCACTATTTGTCTTGTGTCGTTAAGTCGTACACATTGGAAACATCTCTTCTTCACATACATACTTCTGTATATGTTTCTATGGTTCGCGTTTCTTTTGTCGGTGAGCATATGTAGTACCGAAAAAATACATTTCCATAATCATAAGCGCTATTTGTTTGTATGATTATAATAATGTCATAAGTATGTGTTTCTGAATCTCTATCACATGTTGATGATACGAGGTGTTCCGAAACCGTTAGAATGAACCTGTCCCGCCGTTTAAAACGAGAGTCACACTCAGAAGACAAACGTTTAAAACGAATGTGGTTCTCTGTAGATACACCCTCAAACTAACGCCATGATCAGTAGAATCACGAACGCTGTTAATTGAAGATATGGACGAAGATCTGTATACACACTAGATGGATTATAATTTACAAATTGAAGGGTTTTTTACTTTATGCACTGCTAACTTGCGTCGGGGTCATCGTAATGTCTGACAACGACGCTACAGAGGACAGTCAGTCAGGGTTAAATGTGGAAATATTAAGATAAAGACGCAACATTCATAATGAGATATAGATGGAGAGAGTGCATGATTAAGAAAGGATTCACCCGTTTACTGTGAGCATTCATTCCATAACTCTTTTCAGTTACTGATCATGGAACACTTTAATTTCCAGGCGTGGACGTATCAGTCAAGTGCAACGCTTCATTTTACAAACATGGAAGAACTGCTTCGCCTTTCTTGAAGAAAGGTATATTATCAGGGCTTTAATACGGTTGACGCCGTATTTTGATATTCAAAGTTTTGTCCTTTAATCGCCAGGATCTGCTGATTTGGGGTCCGAATTTCAGATTCGCTCCGATTATGATCCTTGGTCCGTCAGCGTCATATACATGTATGTCAGCATGTCAGCGTATATGACCTTCGTAAATTTGGATTCAAAATGTTTCTCTCCACACATCGATAATGCTTTTGAGGAGCTTTTTACCTTTACACAAGCGTTATGATAATACTGTGAAAGTAAGGGGGCGAGTAAGTTGGGTTTAATGACGCTTTGAACAGTAGTTCAGTTGATCTTTAAATGATGTTGATGTTGATGATATGCAGGTCTGTTATATTTACCACTTTGGCGATGTAGGTATTTTGCTGATGACTCATAATCAGTGAAAATATGGGATATGAATACCGATTATAGGGTTTTTGCACGTCTCAAGGACGGAACTCGTCTTAGACGATATTGACACCCGTGACGGTCCTAAATAAATGAAATTCGTGTTTCAAATATGGAAACCTTTAGTCTAGTGTGTTTTGTTGCCCGTGTATGTGTTTCTACTGCCGGTAAGGCATGGCAGTCTATGCGTTGTCTGTTGTCAGTGACGCTGGGGTTGGCCATCTTGGTGCCTGTTCTCCTGGTTCTCCTGCTTACTGTCATCATAATCGCTTACGGAGTCTACAGGTTAGTGTCTCATACTTCTGTTACATGACGATTATACGTATATGCCCCGCACCTATCTATCATATTCATCATCGAACGCGTGTGCATAACACATATATCTCTGCGTGGCACACATCATAACCCATCCGTGGATGCACATGTACATTAATGGCACATATTATACCATAACGTGATGTCCCTACACATATTGTTAACACATCCTATCTTTTTACATAAGTGAACGTGCACATTGTTAACATATCATATTTCATTGTGTGGATGCACGTGTACGTTGATAACGCATCATATGCCATAACGCGAATGCACGTGAACATTGTTAATACATCATATACCATTGCGTGAATGCACGTGTACATTGTTAACATAGCATATCCCAATGAGTGGATTCACGTGGATATTGTTAACACATTATTTACCATTGCGTGCATGCGCGTGTACATTGTTAACACATCATATCCCATTGAGTGGATTCACGTGGATATTGTTAAGATATCATTTCCTACAGACTTGCTATGCACGTGTACACTGTTAACACATATAGAATTACGTAGATGAACGTGCATATGTTAACATATCATATCCCATTGAGTTGATTCACGTGGATATTGTTAACACATTACTTACCATTGCATGCATGCCGGTGTGCATTTATAACACATCATATCCCATTAAGTGGATTCACGTGAATATAGTTAACACATTATATACCATTGCGTGAATGCACGTGTACATTGTTAACACACCATATCCCATTGAGTGTATTCACTTGGATATTGTTAACACATTTTTTACCATTGCGTGAATGCACGTGTACATTGTTAACACACCTTATCCCATTGAGTGGACTCAGGTGGATATTGTTAACACATTATTTACCATTGCGCAAATGCACGTGTACATTGTAAACACACCCATTGAGTGGAAGCACGTGTACCTTGTTGAGATATCCTATCCAACTGACTTGCTATACACGTGTACACTGCTAACACATATAGCATTGAGTGGATGAACGTGCACATTGTTAACATATCATATCCCATTGAGTGAAATCACATGTACATTGTTAACATAATTATATATTATTTCATTGCGTGGGTTAATGTGCACAATGTTAAGATATCATGTCCCATTGTGTGGATTCACGTGTACAGTCTTACCAAATCTTGTCATCTGTATGCACGTATCTAGATCAGAAAACATATCCTATTCCATGGATGCGTGTATATTTGGCTAACAACGTATCGTATTACATGAACGATTTGCAACGTGATAACGCAGCATATCATTTTGCACGCAAATCGCACGTGGACTGATTGTGCCCGAGTTGCAGGAGTGAATGTCAGGAATATAGATAAACATTTATTATGTATACATTATCTCTCTCACAGTAGAAGCAAATCCCGAGCGGAATATGAACTCAAGAGCATTCCCTTCGAAACACAAACAACATCATCAAAAAATACTCCATCTTTGACAAGAACCTTCAAAACTAACCCGGATGTGTGTGCGGGTCACGTGACAGACTCTGACTCGAGGGACGGGGAATGGGAGTTCCCCATGCCCCCACCAGAGGCGTACACAGAAGCGGAACAATGGTCACCAGAGAACGACAGAAATGTACCAACATAACCATCTGTCAGAGACGAAGGACATATTATAATCAGTGATGTGGTGACGTGTATATATTACATTAAGTCGTTAACTTCAGTGTATAACTTGTGCACGCCGATCGTTACTTGTCATTTGAAAAGAAAGTATCTTGACAGTCTGAAAATTCCCACATTCCCGACTGTACAATTTGGTATAGACAGTGATAAGTGGATACTGAACTTTGATTTGAAACAGATTTACTCGTAAGTTTCCAAAACATTATCATTTATTCAACAGTTTTTTTATTTAACTCTGACTCTGCGATGTGAAATGAGAAAAGAAAATATGAATAGCAAATGGCCTTTGTCTCTATTAAAATGTGATTCTTGCTTCTTGAAATACAATTAGGAATCCAAAGTAAATTCACTGCTATGGTAAATGAACGACATTCTTGAAATATGGTAAGCATGGTAACTGAACACGCAGTTAACACCTTGCGTGATCACGTGGCTGGAATTAATAGAATTCACACTGGACATTGAACTTTCCTTTTTAAGACCGTCCAAAAACCTCAGCAAAAATGCATTCTTTCCAAACATTGGTCTATATTAAAGGATTAGGGTTTTTTTCCCAGCAGCATTGGTATTTTATATGTGAGTGAGTGAGCATGGTTTTACGGCGCTTTTAGCAATATTTCAGCAATATCACGGCGGGTATTTTATAGGAAGTGTAACAGACAAAGAAGTGGTCACTGAAAGACTTAATTGTGTTTTTATACAGGACTGGCATTCCTCATTGTCAAATGTTTTCTTCCTTTTAGCCATTTCTCAATGTTGAATTATATCTGGAAGAAATTACCATTACAAAATTTAGAATATCATTGTCAAAGTAGCGTTGCATTTCCCTTGAATCTCCTCATAGGAACGAGGTGGTACTATAATATTCCAAGACATGAAATGATTTGCCAGTTCCTCATTGGTATGATGAGGAGTCATTATGTATCGATTTGTTACGTTAACAAAGGAAAGTGTTATTCATCCAACACTGTTTTATTTTAATTCATTAACGTCTTCATCATGAAAAAGTAATACAAATGTTTGCCAAATACATTTGTCATGTCATTAATAGTGAGTGAGTGAGTGAGTTGGGTTTGACGCCGCTTTTAACAGTATTCCAGTTATATCGCGGCGTGACAGCTTAATGTGGGAGGAAAGCCCGAAGTGATGCAGGTCTCAGACGTTTACCACTTCGGTGAAACCCACGAGAACGGGTATGGTGCCGACAAACCTAGAAACATAATCGGGGCGAACCGGGATTCGAACCCACAATCATAGGTTTCTGGCGTGCCCAAGGGACGCAACTCTGCACAGCGAATCGCGGCGCCTTAGACGACTGGGCCACCCGTGCCCCCTCATGTCATTAATAAACAAAATACAAACTATAACAAAACTATTTTCTTTGGACAGTATTTCTTATTTTTTTTCTGTAGTGAACGTTGTTGTTGTTCACTGGTTGCCCAATCATATGTGTATTTGGGCCCATGGCCTACATTCTTACGAAATAAACATTGCACAAAAGCGGTGCTTGAACGTCAAATTTGCTGGGACTGCGAATGCTAGAGCCCGGCCATCCTTTATTGACAGGGGAACATAAACAATCTATTATCCCATATTTTACTAATGCACAAAAAGCAGTCCAAAACAAACCAATCAATCGTATACAGTCTGACTCAATTCAACCGCATTTCAAACAAAATCTGACAATAACAAAATGATCGGTTTATGAATCACCATCAGTTAGTGATCATACCAGGTTTTCGCTAAAAAGTAAGTGTATTCTGCCCCAGTTATCCCTTTCCATACAGTTTTGTGACTATCGGTTTGCCAACCCTGCACATTGACCTTGATATGAAGGACATGAGGCGGTTCCCTGGTGTCTTTTATTTTTAGCTCTGGTGTCTTTTATTTCTAGCTCATGTGGGTAAATCAGTGGAAGGGAATTGGCTATTTGACCTTTACTGAACGACATTAGATGATCGATAAACTTGAAGCTGAAGATCCACCTTTAGGCGACGTCCCCTTGTTGTTATTTTGCCAATTCAATCCATAAGCATAACGAAACATATCAGCAAGGGGGGCACAAGTGGTGCCATGGCCATAAGGATGCATGCTTCTTGCTTACATTGCATGTTACAAAATTCACAAAAACATATATCTGTAGGGAAGTCCAGAAGGTCACATATTGTTTCCCAGTACACTGCAGAGGACATTTGCTTTCATTAACAAATTGCCTTGAACCTTTGAAGATAGTGATGTAACTATATCTATTGTCACCACGTTTTGTGACCAATACCTCATGGATCAAGGAGTGAATTCGAAGTTTCCTTCAGTTTATAGCGTGGGTTAGTGATGTATACAGTTGAAATATCTTAAACTATGTTTTTGGACATCCTATGATGTAACTAATAATTTGATCGGGCCTCTTCAGTAGTAGTAGGTAAGTTTGGAATGACCATTCATTTAAGTTTGTTTGTATGTTGTTTAGCATTCAGGAATGCGGGATGGACAGGTGTTTGATAGCACGAACATCGATGCACACAACTGATATAAGATGACATGCATCAACCAAGTCAGCGAGTCTGACCACCTGATCCCGTTAGCCGCCTTTTACGACAACCAGGGGTTGCAGAATCAATTCTAACCCGTCTCTTCATGTGTCCCATTCATCTCTATTTTCCAACAATAAAGATCGGAATAATTATAACATTTGGATCATCGCATAAAAGTCAACTAAGAACGTCTGCATTCAACAGGTCAAATAATTAGTTAGTAATACTTTTTGATGAGTGAACGTTTGACATATGGACTGCATTGTTTCAACTAAGCCCAGTTTATATATAAACTCAACCAGGACATAACACTGAACGTGAAACGCTAAACTTCCTTGTCTCCAGCCAGTAACTGACAGGCTGGACTGCCGAGCTGTCATTGTAAGTAGACCTTAAGTGTTACCAATATGACAAATAGAAATATTCTTAATATAAGTTCCATCTTCTTTGTTAAACTTGTTCAACACCGGAAAATTACCATCTACATTTTACTCCCGAGAATCTCCTTTGCTTTAATGCATGTTTTCCAATACGAATCTCTTAAAGGGTCCGCGGTACCACAGCCTTTACATAATGAGACCCCCCTAGCCTTGTGGTTAATGACGAGGGCGTAAAGCCATTTGGTCACTCACTTTCACATCAACTCGTGATGGTGATGCATGATTCTTTTTAATATTAATAGCCGCACGTGTACTGTGAGTGCATGAATTTCACTTATTATGGAGGATTATACCGAAGCGGTGAATTACTTTATGTGAAACTGGGTTTGACTAGGCGTAATGTAAATTGTGGTGACTGGTTGTAGGACATTATAGGGTCAAGGGGGTGTTGCAGTAAACTGTCAACAGGAATTGCTGGTGTCCAAATGTTATATTTTATTAATTAGTGCATTTAAAGGATAAACAAGCGACAGTATGTATTTTGTGTAGACATTATAGTATATTAGAATTTCTATAAGCGTATTGGGCGGTCGGGTAGCCTTGTGGTTAAAGCGTTCGCTCGTCACGCCGAAGACCCGGGTTCGATTCCCCGACATGAGTACAATGTGTGAATCCCATTTCTGGTTCCCCCGCCGTGATATTGCTGGAATATTGCTAAAATCGGCGTAAAACCATACTCACTCACTGTAAGCGTATGCATGATAAATGAATTTCGAAAACAATCACGAACGATGGTAATAGGTTAAGGTTAAGGTAAAGGTTAATTTTGTTATTTATATAAATCAATGTACCGTTTACATGCACGTCAACCTATGAATGTATGAAGTGATATCTTTAACCAGAAACCAATTGCAATGCCACTAAAACCGCAAGATCACTATTTGTATGACTAATATGTACATGTATATGACTCTGTGGGAACTCGTACATAAAAGTGTAATAGTGAAATAAAGTTAACACCACCATTAATGTCCCATGTGTGTCACCGATGTCAGCTGCCTCACGCATCGCACATTGACTCACAGCCGTTTGTTTAAGGCTGGAGTGTAGATTGTCCAAGAGTGCGCAATCATCATCCACAGGAAGCGCTGTGACAACCCTTAATGTAAACACTACGCTTAATGTAAAAGAAAATACATTAAAGGTTGCGGGTTAACCCTTCTTACAACCCTTACTGTAAACATTACTCTTAATGTAAAAGATTTTACATTAAGGGTTAAAGTGACAGATAATATTTTTTTTAAATATTTATGGTTATCATTGTGAAATAATACTCGTCACTTTGCCTAATGTGCAAATGACTAATTTATAATCAGTTAGATTCCCTCTCTACAACGACCACCTGGTTGCTATATGCAGGTTTTATAAAAGGGAATATGACCCCTGACCCTTTTAACCTATTGCTATCAAAGTTACTGTAGTATAAAGGTTATCTTAAGATACTCTACAATTCATCCTCATTTCCGTTACTATCCCAATACCATAGCGACGGAAAGGAGGACTGAGGAGGTTGATTAAAATGTAGTAAGCTGTTATTGTCCGTCTTCGTTCAATGTGTATATCTGCTATGGAAACCCTTCCTCCATGCTCACCTGTGAACCTATAACTGCTTCGGCGGAGTCATTTTGGACCAGACCAGACCAAGTCGTTGATGGTGGGGGGTTGTTAGAACAGTCCATTAACAGAGTTTTAGGCTAAGAAGAATGGGCATTTTGAAGCAGTATTGGGCATATACATGTAACAGTTAAGCATACACCAGATCCATATGATATTACAAACGACAAGGAATCGAATACAATTATGATTTTGTTAGAAAATACACTCCGTCGGTTTCACAATTACCGTGTCGAGTCGAAATTGGCCATGAAGAGTATTATTTATTACAATAGAAAGCATATATCAGAGGAAATGTTTTTTGTAATATATAATGTGGTCATCGGACGCTATTAGGCCCACCCAGACACCTCATTTGCAGCTTTTTTATTTCTCACTCCTTGTGGAAGATTGGCAATACGTCACATAAACCTTTCGGACATCTTGCACGTATGGAAAAAAATGGAGCTAACTAGAACTGTCCTATGGGGAATTAAATCCCTCCCGCAGACGTATGATAATGTTCACATGGGTATACAAACGTACCTCTGCAATCGCATTTAAGATATGATCGCAACCTCTGTTATTCATCTGAACATTATATTTAAAGGAGCAATCAGAGGCCTATATTACATTGACACATGTAACTTTAAAATGGCGACTGTGAGACCATCTTGAATTTCTGAATGAGGTTATTTTATTGGACCTTGTGCTGATCATTCACACCTAGTTTCATAAAGAGCACTTATAAGAATTAGAAAATAGTTTTAAAGGGGAACTGATCTAAAGCAATTCCCCGGGACTGGTTGTTGCCTTTGTTATTGTTTTTTCCCGTGAGTACCCGGATGATATAGCAGAAACCTAGACTAGTTCGCGACCTGTGCTGCGCAATTCGTAAGCGCATTTGTCACTTTTATTGATAGTATAAGGGCGTATGGTCACATCTATCAACAAAATGAAAATTTAATACAGTTTTGGAAAATAATAAGGAAATGTAGGTATCTTTGTGGGTAGCATCGGTAATGGTGACGAACTTTTGATAAGTCACTTGCTTGGTAATTGTGCGATTTTCGTTTACACTATTTTGACTTGCAACACAAAGTAAATATTTCTCCTGAGCATTGCTTATTTTATCGTGTTTATATTTTTTTAAGTCAAAATGTGCAACATTTTCACTTAGGGAATTTATTAAAAGCTTGAATATTCAGACTGAGTTATTTTGACTGAAAAATATGTCCATCTGTATTATTATGATAACGCATTCCAAACATTTTAATGTTTAATATCATCACCAAGAGACTGAAAATGTTACGATGAAAAGTACATTTTTCTATATTGTTTGGCTTCTAATCCTACATAATAATCTATTGTGATGTTTATAGGCCCTTTTGAACGTCTTAATCAGTTTTTACTCAATCTGTTAAAGAAATGGACAGATTTTTCAGTCAAAATGACTGAAATATTTACACATTTTATAAATTGCCTGAGAGAATCACATTTTACAAATTGACTGACTGAGTGTAATTTATACACGCTTACAAAGGAAAAGACTTGTAAAAACAACGTCTATAGCACATCGAAGAATTTCCCAACCAAGACGTAGAGGAACAGGAATGAATCTGTCCAATGCTACAGCAAATGAAGGAAAACAAAATGCAAATATCATAATTACAACCTATCAAAATTATGTGTATAATTTTAGGCAGCTTCCTTGTACCCTTTGAATATCCACACAAAGGAACAATATCCCACGTCTGCAGCTGTACAAAGAAACTTATTCGATGTCACGTGTCTCTGTAACAATCAAATATTTAAACAAATATATATCGTTTCGGGATATTATAACCCGTGTTCGTGGGTCCTACTATTTAACATCCAAAGACGCCCGGTAACGTCCGGGGGCGTCCGGAAACGTCCGGGAGGATTCATCAGACGTCCGGGAGTTTAAAAATACAGTGCAGTCAATAGAACATGTCTTTCTCAGTTTGGTAAGATCGTGAGAATATCAACTGGCGTGGGTCCTACTATTTAACGCCCAAAGGCGCCCGGGAACGTCTGGGAACGTCCGGGAGCGTCCGGGAGGTTTCATCAGACGTCCGGAAACGTCCGGGAGGTTTCATCAGACGTGCAGTAGTTTGAAAATACAGTGCAGTCAATAAAACATGTCTTTCTCAGTTTGGTAGGATCGTGAGAATATCAACTGGCGTACGTGTTTGCCACGTGCAGCTGCCAGACACTTCCGGGTACTGGTACTTCCATTGTCTGGCAGCTGCATGTGGCAAACACGTACGCCAGTTGATATTCTCACGATCTTACCAAACTGAGAAAGACATGTTTTATTGACTGCACTTTATTTTTAATCTCCCGGACGGCTGATGAAACCTCCCGGACGCTCCCACCAGATGCTCCCCGACGTTGCTCGGAAGTTTTACACTCAGTGAACCATTCTGGGGCCACGCATGAACTTTTGAAAACCTCTGTGTTTCAGTATTAGTTATGGAATAGTATACAGAATATGACACTATAAAAGAACATTATTTTTGTTCCATAAGCAAATTTACATTGTATCCTTCAAAGCCTACGTTTTGAATACCTCGTCAGTCCGAATAAAATCAAATCGTATTTGCTTCGCAGATTCACCATTTAAAAAGTATAGGGATGTATGTAAAAAAAATTGCAGCTATATGTTATTTTGTATAATGAATACAAGAATTTGATTTGATTTGCAAAAAAGTAAATCAACTGATCATTTATCTCTTGCTGGGCTGCCACGTGCATATTACATAACACACATTTCACCTCACTTGAAACCTGGATTTAGATTGAATAATTACCCCAGACTCAATAAATGCCAAATGGGAACCTTTGTCAGGTATTCTGAGCGGTGCTACCACTAATTATACCTGTAATAAATTCATTAACTGAGCATCAATTGAATGACGACAAATACACACAAGTGTAGGGTTATAACAGAAAAAGTGAATGAAAACAAGGGAGTATTAATCGTATTATCGACGCAATCCGAAATCCGAAAATGCTTTCACTGCATGGATACTCTTTTATTATTAAACTATAACAATCATATAACTATTTCCAAATGACGACATCCGATGAGCTTCTTTTTGTCTGTTTGTTTAGGCTGAAGAAATATTAATTAACATGCGCCCTTTGTCGAAATCTTTATAGATCACGGTTAACCCGTGTTCAAAAATGAGTAAAACAATTATTGCCTCCAAGTTGATTTAGCTATCCTTGCAGACGGTAGCCCAGTCTCTTGTCACGCTCAGTTGCGTATCATCCGGGTACTCACAGGGAAAAAACAATAACAAAGGCAACCACCAGTCCCGGGGAATTGCTTTAGATCAGTGCCCCTTTAATTATCTAAATATCGGCCAATCAGAGGACTTAGTTCCGTTTCTATTGTAATAAATTGTCCTTTTTGCGCAAAAAATATATCTAAATATCTTTGAACGAAATCGAACATATACATATCGACCAGTCAGATGCCTCGGTAACATTGCCATGGTAATAACATCTATTCGTTTGAGTCTTGAAATACATTGTGGCTAAATACCAATTTTGAACGGAATCTCTAAATATCGACCAATGAGCTCTGCAGATGCCGTTTTCCGTTGCCGTGGAAGCAAGGTAGTAACGTAAATATTGTAGAGTGTCCCTAGATACACCTTTGCAACACAATTGAACAAAATCAGCTGAATGACATGTTAGTAATGACCACTTAAAGAAAACCTGTAATTAACGATCAGGCTGTTGTCGTTGAGAGGTTGTTGGAATACGAAGGTGCAGTGCACAAACATAAGTTCCCTGGCTCTACTATATGTAGTTTCAGAGAAAACACGCAAAGTTGAAGGAAGAAAATATTACGAATTACTATGAAACACCTAGACAAAGCAATGAAAAATGTTAAAATAGCAAAAAGGTACCCTATATTTCCAATAAATATGTACGATATGAACACTTAATGTAAAAACAAAATAAGATTTACATTAAGGGCTACGGGTTGTTGCTGTCAATGTAAAAACAATATTACATTAAGAGTTAACAGTTCAAAATGAGCAGTTTGTTGGCAGTGGTGACAAAAATAAATCAATTGTCAACTATTGTGCTTACACGTGGAATTGACACCAAGGCTCAATCTCACAACTAATTTGACACATTTGGATGCAACAACCTGGCTCGATATTCAAAGCCATAGAGCAACCAGTCTCGATTATCCGCCGAAACAGATTCCATTGGACGTAAAATGCAAAATATCGGTGACAATTATAAGAATGGATCACTGCAAATATGGGAAAGGGGTCAGCATGTCCTGCCCTACCGGTAGCTTCGCCGCTCACACAATTTTCATTAAAAAATATTGCTTATATATTGCAACAAATTAATACCCCTTTCATACGGCGACCGCCTGTACACAAACCAGACAACCAAGGGATGGAACAGAAATTCCAGTGACACGCTTAAATGATAGGCATGTTGCCAACCGCCGCAAACATGCAATATGCATCACGACAGTCTAATCGAATCAGGACCAGCAAACTAAAGCTGAGCAGTGACCCTTGCCATCAGGTATGACCATCGCCGTCAGGGTATGACCATCGCCGTCAGGGTATGACCATCGCCATCAGGGTATGACCATCGCCATCAGGGTATGGCCATCGCCGTCGGGGTATGACCATCGCCGTCAGGGTATGACCATCGCCATCATGGTATGACCATCGCCGTCAGGGTATGACCATCGTCATCAGGGTATGACCATCGCCGTCAGGGTATGACCATCGCCGTCAGGGTATGACCATCGCCATCAGGGTATGACCATCGCCATCAGGGTATGACCATCGCCATCGCCATCATGGTATGACCATCGCCATCAGGGTATGACCATCCCCGTCAGGGTATGACCATCGCCGTCAGGGTATGACCATCGCCATCAGGGTACGAGGACACAGTAACGGACAGGACAGACATTGTAATCATCCAACCTGACCATCTCCTACATTCAGTCGCATCGAAAGACAAGAATAGGTTTATGTGGATTATCATTCACGTCGTATATTTAACTTACAGTAAACTACGCTTATAACGAATACGCTTATAACGAACTGACGGATATAACGAACTATTTCTTGGTCCAGCCCATTTGCTGTATATATGCTGTTTGTATGCTTATAACGAACAGCGTATATAACGAATTAAAATTAGTGGTCCCTTGGGGTTCGTTATAACCGAATTTTACTGTTTAACTCTTGACTTCTGTCATATATTTGTAAATCAATGTTTGTCCTGAAAAAATATGACGTTTCTCACTTAAGAAGCAACTCTTCCTCAGATATCTTGCTGGCACAAATGGAACGGAGCACGTCACATCCTGTTGTTTTCGTGTTGTTGACAAGCATCATATTCAGTGAAATCAAAGGTAACATACTTCCTACAACTGAACTCTATATAAGATGTGGTTCACAATATGACGTTTTAACTCTTGATTAAAAAGGTGTTAGAAATGTGGAGGTTTTTTTCCAAATTCGCAGGTGCTCACAAACGGCGTCATTATATATTGTGGGGGCGGTGGTTAGCCTAGTGGTTAAAACGTTCGCTCGTCACGCTGAAGGCCCGGGTTCGATTCCACACATGAGTAAAAAATTAATGTGATGCCCATTTCTGGTATCCTCTGCCGTGCTGTTGCTGGAATATTGGAATATTGCTTCAAACCATACTCACTCACTCAATCATAAAACACTGTGCTATATCTGCAGTGCTGTTGGTAAGTCTCGGTGTTTGCAGAGACTTATAAGAATGGATCACTGCAAATATGGGAAAGGGGTCAGCATGTCCTGCCCTACCGGTAGCTTCGCCGCTCACACAATTTTCATTAAAAAATATTGCTTATATATTGCAACAAATTAATACCCCTTTCATACGGCGACCGCCTGTACACAAACCAGACAACCAAGGGATGGAACAGAAATTCCAGTGACACGCTTAAATGATAGGCATGTTGCCAACCGCCGCAAACATGCAATATGCATCACGACAGTCTAATCGAATCAGGACCAGCAAACTAAAGCTGAGCAGTGACCCTTGCCATCAGGTATGACCATCGCCGTCAGGGTATGACCATCGCCGTCAGGGTATGACCATCGCCATCAGGGTATGACCATCGCCATCAGGGTATGGCCATCGCCGTCGGGGTATGACCATCGCCGTCAGGGTATGACCATCGCCATCATGGTATGACCATCGCCGTCAGGGTATGACCATCGTCATCAGGGTATGACCATCGCCGTCAGGGTATGACCATCGCCGTCAGGGTATGACCATCGCCATCAGGGTATGACCATCGCCATCAGGGTATGACCATCGCCATCGCCATCATGGTATGACCATCGCCATCAGGGTATGACCATCCCCGTCAGGGTATGACCATCGCCGTCAGGGTATGACCATCGCCATCAGGGTACGAGGACACAGTAACGGACAGGACAGACATTGTAATCATCCAACCTGACCATCTCCTACATTCAGTCGCATCGAAAGACAAGAATAGGTTTATGTGGATTATCATTCACGTCGTATATTTAACTTACAGTAAACTACGCTTATAACGAATACGCTTATAACGAACTGACGGATATAACGAACTATTTCTTGGTCCAGCCCATTTGCTGTATATATGCTGTTTGTATGCTTATAACGAACAGCGTATATAACGAATTAAAATTAGTGGTCCCTTGGGGTTCGTTATAACCGAATTTTACTGTTTAACTCTTGACTTCTGTCATATATTTGTAAATCAATGTTTGTCCTGAAAAAATATGACGTTTCTCACTTAAGAAGCAACTCTTCCTCAGATATCTTGCTGGCACAAATGGAACGGAGCACGTCACATCCTGTTGTTTTCGTGTTGTTGACAAGCATCATATTCAGTGAAATCAAAGGTAACATACTTCCTACAACTGAACTCTATATAAGATGTGGTTCACAATATGACGTTTTAACTCTTGATTAAAAAGGTGTTAGAAATGTGGAGGTTTTTTTCCAAATTCGCAGGTGCTCACAAACGGCGTCATTATATATTGTGGGGGCGGTGGTTAGCCTAGTGGTTAAAACGTTCGCTCGTCACGCTGAAGGCCCGGGTTCGATTCCACACATGAGTAAAAAATTAATGTGATGCCCATTTCTGGTATCCTCTGCCGTGCTGTTGCTGGAATATTGGAATATTGCTTCAAACCATACTCACTCACTCAATCATAAAACACTGTGCTATATCTGCAGTGCTGTTGGTAAGTCTCGGTGTTTGCAGATTAAATTCGGAATAAGGGGCAATCTTTTATGAACTGGCCTCCCTTCTTCGAGTATATGGTTTGTTTAAATGGGATATTGTTTTCGAAAATTCCAGAGTGGAAGTGTGGGATTGACTTGTAAATGTGATATGTAAACCTATTTTCTTTATATTGGACCGGTGCATGGTTAGGGTCATATTATTTTAATATTCAATTAAAATTTATTTGTGAAAGTTATAAGAGGACATCGTAAGATATGCGAATCCACGTTAAGTTTCCTTCCAGACTCAACACAAAGCGTCACCCAGCCGTGTGAGAGAAACAAAAGAGGTACGTGTTTAGTACTGCGTCACACATATCTGTCAAAACGTGCATATTTAGCGAGTGAATGAAGCTTCTAATTTGCTGTATTTGTTTGTTTATTTGTTGTTTAACACCACACTCAGCAGTACTCCAGCTATACGACGGCGGTCTGTAAATAATCGAGTCTGGACCAGGCGATCCGGAGATTGACACCATGAGCATCGATTCACCCAATTGGTATACGATGACATGCATCATCAATCAACAAAGTCAGCGAGCCTGACCACCCGATCCAGTTAGTCGCCTCTTACGGCAATCATCGGTTGCTGAAGACCCATTCTCTACCCTGATCTTCATCGGTTCTATTGGCTGTAACTGTCTTATGAAAACGGTTGATAATATTATTTTTACTAAAGATGAATGCCGTCATGTAATTATTAATAATATATATGATATATATGACAATGTTATCCCCTCTGACCTTAGTTTTGTACTTAATCCTTTCCATGAAGTTTTAAAGACAATGAGTTTATTGCAACAAGTATGACATGAAAGCTTATTAATATTTCCGTTGTTCTTGGAAATATTCATGAGCTTCTTTAGTTTGTTGTACATTATCTGTTATATTAAGTTCCTTTAACTTTAACTTAACTTAGCTGTTTTATGACAGTGTGCTTTGTTATTTATTATCAAGCGCGTAGCTATGGAGAGTTGCCTACCTTATGCGTACTGGAAAACAATATGTTCAGATCAAACATTCGCCTTTATGATCATATTTCTACATGTGTCAGCACCATACCCGTGCTCGTTGGTTTCTGAGTCGTGAATCACTTCGGGCTTCCCTCCCACATTAAGCTGACACACCGCGATATAACTGGAATACTGATAAAATGGCTTTAATCTAAACTCAGATCAAAGATTGATGACGTCCCCTTTTCAATTGTGTAACAATGAGGTTTTTCTCAATGAACGATAAATTTTAACTATCTTACTATTCTAGACATGAAAATGGTCACACAGTCGGGATTAACGGGAGGCAGTGGATTGAATTTCTCAGATTCGTAATATACATGTTCTACTCAATGACAAGGCAGATTAACCTTGGGGATATGATAAAGAAATCTTGTGATCTTTAACTTCTTTTGAGTAGTATGCATGTTCATGTAGTCACAGGGTATGGTGTTTTTGTTTACAGCAATATCACTGTGCGAAAGCAGCTCTGATAATCGGGACTCCGGTTATCTCACATACAACATGTCCGCCTCCCCTGTGCTGTGCAACTGTAGCCTAGCAACAGGCCAAGAGGTTACGCTGAATGTGCAGTATGCAGAGACGGTACACAACGCAACATATGACTTCGTCTTCGACTTGGCAAGGGGTGACGGTGGCAGTATAAGAGGCAAGGAGGGGCACTGGGAGGATAGAATATCTAAACGGATACCCTGGACCTTGTACCTGTCGAAGGCAAATCTGAAAGTAGAACTCCCTACAATTCAAGGATTATGTTTTTCCTATGAAGTTCGCAATGGAAGTAGGTATATAAATATATAGAGGTATATGAGAATCCATGCATACATTGACGCTGGCCTGTATTTTGTTAAACACTGTCTAATGTGTTTCGGCGGATAATCAAGACTGGTTATTCTCGTGCATTTACGTTATGTTACACATGTCGAAATGGCGAATCTAATATGTAGCGGGCCAGTTACATTCCATACAAATGTTGAGTTACTCATTGTAAAACAAGTATATTTCAATGGCTCTGCTCCAAGCAACAATGTTGCAATTGACCTTTTCCTAGCTACTATATTGTAATGGCCTTATTCCTGGCTATTTTGCTTTTATTCCTAGGTGAGTATGTCAGAATGCCCCTGTTCCAAGTTTTCTTGTAATGCTCGTATTCTTAGCTAGAATGTTGTAATGCCCCTATTCCTATCTACTATATATGTTTCAATTCCTCTATTCCCTACTATGTTGCAATGCCCCTATTCCTAGCTACTTTATATGTTGGAAATTCACCTATTCCTTACTATGTTGCAATGCCCCTATTCCTAGCTACTATATATGTTTCAATTCACCTATTCCCTACTATGTTGCAATGCCCCTATTCCTAGCGACTATTTATGTTTCAATTCACCTATTCCCTACTATGTTGCAATGCCCCTATTCCTAGCTACTATATATGTTTCAATTCACCTATTCCCTACTATGTTGCAATGCCCTTATTCCTAGCTCCTAAGTTGTAATGATGATATTCCCAGCTACTATGTTGCCATTCTTCTATTCCAAGCTACAATATTGCTAAGTAAGTCGCTATGACTCCCTGACTCGATTACATGTATCGTAATTTGTGCCTGCCAGAAAACAATCTCAGATTCGCAATATTTTTTGCTTTATGTTACAATAATCTGTGTCGTTTTCAGTTTTCTCGTTTTATATTACCACCAGGTACAACGATCTCCATTATATGCCAGACCTCTAACATGGAACTTGACACGAGTATGTAAAACACAATCGTTTTGGCTATGCCCAACATAAATCGCATCTCTAAATCGTAATAGTTTGAACGCCTCCGTGGTCTCGTGGATGGATCGTCTGCCCGGAGAGTGGAAAGTCGGTGGTTCTATCCCCGGCCGCGTCAAACCAAATGCATTAAAATATGGTACTTGTTGCTGCCCTGCCTGGCGCTCGGCATTATTAAAGGGGCTAAAAGAAGGACGGGTTGGCTCGGAGTCTGTGTACTGTGTGAGAGTGGAGAATCAATGGTAAACTGCGGCATGGTATATATCTCACTATAAAATCGAATTAGTCCGGACTCTCAAAAGCAGCCACACCAAACACACACACGCGCGCGCATGCACGTCACAATATAACTGCAATACTATTTAAGGCGGCGTTTAACCTAATGGTTGAGGTCTTAACAGTTTAAGCATACAGTTCAGTATTTGAAGTAACACATCTTCAAGTCAATTATTAATAAGTGAATTTCATGTGTTCATTCTAAATGTCATCCGCACATTAAGTACCATGTTCGTCACATTGTGTCATTCGCTTCGATGACTTACACGGGTATTGACGTTGTTTCCAGGCACAACACTGATCATTGTTTTCCTGTGTGTTCTGACTGGTGCCCTCGCTGTCACGATAGTCACTGTGGTGTTCTTTAACAGACGACAGAGGTAAACAAACCTGGTAGCTCACCTGAATGTCAAATTGGCTGATGTCGTGACAATTTTGTCCGTCGTTAAGCACCTTCTCATAAGTCAAAGGACCAATAACGCCGAAACCTTATATATTTGTTACCATCACTGAAGACATCCCAATTCGGTCAAGATGTTCAAATCTGATTTTCATAAGGCCATTGCTGCAGTTGTGTTGCAATCGTTCAATATTTACAATTTTGAAATTGTTGGAACAAGCTTTATATTTCCTCAAAACGCACATTTGTCTCTGTAATATTTCGCTCATAATTAAGTCCCCAGTCTCTAAAATTAACATATCAATGCTGTCTCTATTGACATTTTATACTGTTAACGGTATACGATGGTGACAGCCACCCTCACTTGAAGACAAAGCTAACTGGTGTGACACTTAATCTTTATCATTCTTGACCACTGGTTTATGCCTTATAAAGCGTCACTATTGTCAACTACTTGTTTGCCTAACTCGGGTCATTTTAAAGCGGGGCGGCCGGGTAGCCTAGTGGTTAAAGCGTTCGCTCGTCACACCGAAGATCCGGGTTCGATTCCCGACATGAGTACAATGTGTGAAGCCCATTTCTGGTGTCCCCCGCCGTGATATTGCTGGAATATTGCTAAAAGCGGCGATAAGCCATACTCACTCACTCACTCATTTTAAAGCTATGTCGTTGCTGACTAATGGCTTGTCTAACCTCCAGTCGTTATGTAGCTTCATCATTGACTCCCAACTGGTTTTTCGATCTGACACGAGTCTTTATTTGGACAGGGGCGGTCGGGTAGCCTAGTGGTTAAAGCGTTTGCTCGTCACGCCGAAGGCCCGGGTTCGATTCCCGACATGGGTAAAATGTGCGAAGCCAATTTCTGGTGTCCCCCGCCGTGATATTGCTTGAATATTGCTAAAAGCCGCGCAATACCAATCTCACTCACTCACTTTATATGGACAACTCAATACCAGCTATAGATGTGTCTGACTCCCATTCAACTTGGTAACGGTTGCGTATACTCTGTTAACCTGAAACTGTGATATTGCTACTGGTGAACAGAGCTTTAATCTACTTTCATTAGTTCACTCATACTTTCAACATGTTTTTATATACTAGGAGAGTTTTACATGATATATACATAAACTTCACAGGCGGATGAGAAGTGGAGGCAGATTCAGCACCCGTACCCAGGATGAGATTCTCACAGCCCTACAAAAGGCATCCAGTTGGCGAGAGGACAAGGGGCTTGTAGCGGCGGAGGAGGGGCTGGAGAGGATGTCCAGTGGATGCGACCCTGCACTCCCAGACCACACGGGTCAAGGAGCGAGTGAGGTCATCCATGACGGAGGGACGGCCAACAAGAGCTCAGATGGTGGATATTCTTACGCTGGGCCGACAAGTGAACCGGGGACCCTTGGGGATTCCGGGGGACCTGATGGTGATGCACAGACTGGTCCATCTGCTGAAGGTGATGGAGTAGGAAAATCGGATGACGACAGAGATGAAATCGAAATGGTCGATAATATTCTCTATGAAACAAGCTGTATTGGTGGAAAATAGGATTTTGCTAAGCACTACGAACATGCACAGAGGGAAGTACCCATACCGATTTAATAGTGTCCAGGGTAAAACGTACAAATTATAAAAAAATGTCAAATATGTCAATAATTGCCTGAAGATATAACTTGCCTTGTGGCTCTCAAATGTGTTGTGGTTTTCCTACATGCATAAAAAGTGGTTTTGTAACTTGAACGGACATTATTTGTTTATTTTTCAATAAAATAGAATTGTTATTTCTTAAATGAAAGCAGTTGTCTGTCGTTCAGGAATCAATTAGTGATGCATATTGTATGTGCGCTTGGGGTCACACTATCGATATCGCACACACACACGTTTGTCATTTCTTCTTTTAAATTGCATATATATATGCGCAAACAATATCACGGCTGTTTTTTTTGAATATATTCTCATCGAGTGGATTTATCGATCCCGATTAGAATCAAAACTCGTGTGTCTCGTAAGTGCGTGTTTGACAAGTATTGGGACGAGTGTTAACTGTGGGAGGTTAGTCCAACATAGAATGCTTCAGAAATATACGCATGGACATTATTTCAGCACCACCAGACATAAAATCCAATGCCGAAAAATAAGACCAATCCCTGACCTGAACCCAACTAAACACCTTTGGCATTACCTTGAGTTCCAATGAGAGCAAGAGACCCTCCAGTTTTAAACCTGCATGAACTGACCCAGGCACTGCACCAAGAATGGCAGACCATCCTAATGTTGAACATCAGACGTCTGATCAGCAGTGAGTGAGTGAGTGAGTGAGTGAGTGAGTGAGTGAGTGAGTGAGTGAGTGAGTGAGTGAGTGAGTGAGTGAGTGAGTGAGTGAGTGAGTGAGTGAGTGAGTGAGTGAGTTTTTTTAGAACGCCGCTTTTAGCAATATTCCAGCAATATCACGGCGGGGTGTCCCCCGCCGTGATATTGCTGGAATATTGCTTAAAGCGGCGTACTCACTCACTCACGGCGGGGGACACCAGAAAATGGGCTTCACACATTGTACTCATGTCGGGAATCGAACCCGGATCTTCGGCGTGACGAGCGAACGCTTTAACCAGTAGGCTACCCGATCGCCACGGTGGATACGCGAGCCACGGACTGCAGAGTCAGTTTTGATTTCTAGGTTGACAATCGTTTTTCACTGCATGATGTGACACTCCGATTCGAGGGATAGGCTGGGCGTTGATCTCGGGCCGCGTCATACCAAACGACGTTACAAGTTGGCAACCATCGTATCGTTGATAACGTATTTCTAGATCATTTAATGTCATAAGTCATAGGCTGCATGTATCTTGTAATGTAACATTGTTTAAATATCTCTCTATATGAAATTTCACTCTGCCACGAATAAAGACTTCAAGGGACTCAGAAGCCTTCTCTCTGTTTTCATAACAGGAATACAATTACTGATAAAGTGACTTATACACTTGTATTGCAATCAATATGAGTTTTGATAGCTGTACAATAGTAGGTTTGTGATTAAATGACATCAGACAAACAAAGGATTCCAGTTACGGATTTACAAAGTATATAGGATCAATGTATCGATATCTTAAATCATTAAAAACAGGGCATACAAGTGCAAAATTATATTCATGTCCCACTAGACTAATATTCAATCGAAGACAATATCTACACAAGCGTCATTCTGGATCGATGCCATTGCGTCTGCCCATTTCGATCATCAACTGATGACAGCCACATCTACATCTTGACAGTGCTTGTATCTAGTGTAGATTCGACGTGTGTAAGATACACTTCGGTCTGTAAAACTGATTTGAAGGTTGAATATACCATTAGCTTTGGATTTGATGATATTGATGAATGTCATCGTTGGGTGTTGTAATCGGATACACGTTACTTAAACTGAGACATAAAAAGATAAACATTTCCAACATATTGCATAATCCAGGCGCAGCCAAGGCCAAACTGGAATAAGATATGTTTTATTTTAGTTGCCCAGGAAGTTCTGTTTACGCAATCCAATCTATACAGCATCAGATACGTTTGCTTGGGTAGTCGGCCATAATTCATAGTGACTAGTTTAGCCCAATATTTTACTCATTTTGTTACATAGGGGAGAAATGATAGAGGTCGACCACTTTCTCCAAGAACAGCATCACTAAAAGCACTCAGAGGAAGATATAGAAATCCCTTTATATACTCAGTCTGAACTCTCTCAATTTGATCCACGACTTCGTATCCCTTAGTCTGAACTCTCTCAATTTGATCCACGATTTCGTATCCCTTAGTCTGAACTCTCTCAATTTGATCCACGACTTCGTATCCCTTAGTCTGAACTCTCTCAATTTGATCCACGATTTCGTATCCCTTAGTCTGAACTCTCTCAATTTGATCCACGACTTCGTATCCCTTAGTCTGAACTCTCTCAATTTGATCCACGATTTCGAATCCCTTAGTCTGAACTCTCTCAATTTGATCCATGACTTCGTAGCCCTTAGTCTGAACTCTCTCAATTTGATCCACGACTTCGTATCCCTTAGTCTGAACTCTCTCAATTTGATCCACGACTTCGTATCCCTTAGTCTGAACTCTCTCAATTTGATCCACGACTTCGTATCCCTTAGTCTGAACTCTCTCAATTTGATCCACGATTTCGTATCCCTTAGTTTGAACTCTCTCAATTTGATCCACGACTTCGTATCCCTTAGTCTGAACTCTCTCAATTTGATCCACGACTTCGTATCCCTTAGTCTGAACTCTCTCAATTTGATCCACGATTTCGTATCCCTTAGTCTGAACTCTCTCAATTTGATCAACGATTTCGTATCCCTTAGTCTGAACTCTCTCAATTTGATCCATGACTTCGTATCCCTTAGTCTGAACTCTCTCAATTTGATCCACGACTTCGTATCCCTTAGTCTGAACTCTCTCAATTTGATCCACGATTTCGTATCCCTTAGTCTGAACTCTCTCAATTTGATCCACGATTTCATATCCCTTAGTCTGAACTCTCTCAATTTGATCCACGACTTCGTATCCCTTAGTCTGAACTCTCTCAATTTGATCCACAATTTCGTATCCCCAAAGTTCGGAGCCGTATGTAAGGATGGACAGTACCATGCTTTTGAAAATCTTTAGTGCATTCGTAATTTGTAAACCACCACACGTAGAGTGCAATCTGTATATGAGTAAGCATATTTTCTCCGCCTGCTTTGCCAAACACTTGTTTCGATCTCGTCCAAACCAGTTTAGGTGACAAATAAAGACCAATATATTTATAAAAGGAGACGGTTTCGACCTGAGAGCCCATGTAATACCATTTTTCATACTGCCGTAGATATCCACCATTTCGGAATACAACAATCTTCGACTTTTGTGTATGTATGTTCATATTCCATTTTTCACAGAAGTTGCTGACGCAGTTTATTTGTTCTTGGAGTTTGCCTGCGGAATCTGCAGAGTTAGCGGCATCATCAGCATAGAGAAGGGAACATATATTAGGATAATCTTCGGATATAAACATGCCTTTACAGTTTGAAGAAGTCATCTTAGTAACCAATTCGTTGATGTGAAATGAAAGTAACAGAGGAATGGCCATACATCCTTGGCGAGTACCAACCCAGCACTGAGAAAAGTCTGTGAGACCTGCATGATATGTCTGTACACGAGTGAGTGAGCGAGTATGGTTTTACGCCGCTTTTAGCAATATTCCAGCAATATCACGGCGGGGGACACCAGAAATGGGCTTCACACATTGTACCCACTGTCCGTACACAAGTTTGTAGTTCTGAATACATATTTCTTAAAACAGTTACAATATTTCCATGTATTCCATAGCTAATAAGTCGATGCCAAAGTAAAGTGTGATTTACGCAATTAAAGGCTTTTGAGAAGTCTATAAAGAAAACCTACAATCTGCCACCTGTTGATTTAGAGGGGTATTTTCTAATCATCCCATAAAGAGAAAACATGCTATCCGCCGTCGAATAACCTTTCCTGAATCCAGCTTCATTTTCATAAACAACATTATTTTCATGAGACCAATGCTGGAGTCTCTGGTTCAATATTTTGGTGAAAACCTTTCCAATCACTGGTAATAGAGAGATTCATCTGTAGTTGTTTGGATCAGATAAAGTGCCTTTTTATGAAGAGGGCATATGATATCCTTGCACCAATCAATCGGGAAATTCCCAGTTTTCATTATTTCATTGAACAAATTCTTTAGTATCGGATATATTTAAATTCTAGAATGTTTAAGTAATTCCGATGAAATTCCATCACAACCTGCAGCTTTATGACATTTAAGATAACGGATTGTCTCTGTAACTTCCTGCAGGGTTATGTCTCTATCAAGTTGATCAGGTAGTCCTTCATTGCAATTGTTACAATGTGATCATGCTCGAATAAATGTTGATTAACTTTTTCTATATTTTTCAACATAGTTTGAGCTGTAATCAGTAACTGTTTAAAGTAGGTATGCCATTCAGTGCCACTGACTTTGCTACCTGCGGAAGACGATTTGGTCTTTTTTAATAATTTAATAGATTTCCACTGTTCATCAGGGTTGTGACGAATACTATAAAGTTGGTCTCTGATTCCTTGCCGAAAAGACGATTTACTATCATGACACACTAATTTAAATATTCGCTTCTTTTGTTTATAAATTTGCTCTTTTGTTTATAAATTTACAAATCAAGTGAAGCGTCAGTCAATCTAAATTTGTCTAAGGCCCGATACTTCTCACGCTTGGCTGTCTCACGCTGCATGTTCCAACACGCGGCTGTCGGGCGGGTATAGAGTCACAGTTATTGTCAACATCATTATTACGAAAACTGCAGCCGCACAAAGTGACACACTCAAAGTCGGGATTCTAAACTTCACCTACAGTTTTCTAGGCGAAATAGGTCCAATTTTCACTCTCCATGTGACAATGTCCACTCCCATACTGCTTTTAGTGAGTTAACTTGCCTCCTTTTATGTCTTTACAGAAGAATTATTGATGAGCTCGTTGTTGCGTGTAACAATCAGGGGAGGTCACTCTATCAACTTCAGGTGACTGCAAGTGGTAATATTTAGCAGTGAACTTTGGCGTGCTGGTAATGAACGTTAGCTGTGCATAGCCGCGTGCTATAAACAGCATCTGAGCAGACACTAGAACCTGGATAATCGCGGTGTATAATATAATATAATATAATATAATATAATATAATATAATACAACAAATAAAAGTCTTATCTAATGCCGGAATGGTATTGTACTGTTTATGTGCACCTGAACAATTTACTATCATTATCAATTTACTCTTACTACTGACCATAGTAACGCATGTGGGAATATCGTTTTATAGCGCATATTCACTGAAGCCTGATACGGCCTTGATGTGGTGCTGTATTGATTGTTGTTCAGCAATAAAGCGGGCCACGAAACCTGCACGATAAAGTAGATCATATTCACGGGGAACAATAGAAACGAGGATTTCCTGGAGCGGCGAATGACAATCAGCTATCTATATAGTAGTCACTAGTATTAATTCTATGTCATTATTCAAGCCACCGTGGTAACATGCCAGAGTATATATAGAGCCTAACATGATTTTATTTCTCTGCTATGAACACTCACTGCATGTTGTCAACGCTCTAGGTATGTATAATAATACATATATTTTTCATGTAATGTGAAGGCCTCTCTGTAGGATAGGGCTAACGGTTAAAAACGGAAAGTGGCCGTTGGGGACATTTGGGTGTTAATTTGCAAATATATAAGATGAGATACTTTCAGAGTCTACAAACAAACATGGCGTCACCCTTGTCCATAGTCGGGTGACAATTGACCTGTCGCGGCTCTAAAGAAATTACGGGAATCAAATTTACAGTCTAAAAAGGTCAGCGTCTAACAAGAACGTCACTTGTGCTTTTTGCAAGTGTAGACAGCTTTGGAAACGGAAATTGCGAGTTTAGGTAAAACGTTTGCGGGATCCGTAGCCGTTTTCCATACATGTGTTGTAGGCCGCGACTGCTTGGCGACTTTTCTTGAATTTAAAACAGTTGCATTTGGACGAAATGGGTTACCTAGCATGTTTCATTTGGTCGCTGTGAGAGACACCTGACGTTATTTCGTAACGTTATCACAGGCCAGGCAGCCACGAAACATACGGGTCGTTTTACAGGCTAGCGTCACTTCCCTGTGGCAAAGGGCAATTGTCGTTAAGCCTGTATGTAGTTACGTCACTGTCTTAACAACAAGGTACAGTTGGAACTATATTTGTTGATCGACTGACTAATCACTGACCTTGTGACGTAATATATTTATGCGCACACTCCAGGAAACGTTTGCAATGTTTAGGTATCATTTGGAAGAGACGAGGATACCCTTTTCGATGATAGAATTTAACAATGAACATTATATCATTGCGACGTTATCACGACTGTGCTTTTTTGGATGGTAAATATCGTGTATTAGTCATAAGCACTTAGTTAGGTCGCCAAGGGTCGGTATACACACCGTTTACCAACCCCAAACACATTAGCCTGATAGCTATATTATAGGCTACACTCACACTTTCTAGCCGTCTAAGGGCCCGCAATTCGCTGTGTAGAGCTGCATCCCTTTGGGGAAAAAACAGAAAACTGTTATTGTGGGTTCGAATCCCGGTTCGCCCTGATTATGTTTCTAGGTTTGGCAGCACCATACCCGTGCTCGTGGGTTTCACCGACGTGGTAAACGTCTGAGACCTGCATCACTTCGGGCTTTCCTCCCACATTAAGCTGACACGCCGAGAAATAACTGGAATACTGTTAAAAGCGGCGTTAAACCCAACTCCCTCACTCACTCACTCTAGCCGTCTAAGGGCCCGCAATTCGCTGTGTAGAGCTGCATCCCTTTGGGGAAAAAACAGAAAACTGTAATTGTGGGTTCGAATCCCGGTTCGCCCTGATTATGTTTCTAGGTTTGGCAGCACCATACCCGTGCTCGTGGGTTTCACCGACGTGGTAAACGTCTGAGACCTGCATCACTTCGGGCTTTCCTCCCACATTAAGCTGACACGCCGAGATATAACTGGAATACTGTTAAAAGCGGCGTTAAACCCAACTCCCTCACTCACTCACTCTAGCCGTCTAAGGGCCCGCAATTCGCTGTGTAGAGCTGCATCCCTTTGGGAAAAAAACAGAAAACTGTTATTGTGGGTTCGAATCCCTGTCATGGTTCGCCACAATTATGTTTCTAGGTTTGTCAGCACAAAGTGGTAAACGTCTGAGACCTGGATCACTTCGGATTTCCTCCCACATTAAGCTGTCATGATCAGCCTGTGATCTTACTCGAATACTGTTAAAAGCGGCGTTCAACCCACCACACTTACTCCCAATCACGACGTAAAACAAACTGAAATCTATTTCATTCGGAAAATATCGTAAATGTCCGGAGAATGGCGTCTGACAAGATTAATTCGAGATTAATTGAAAATAATACAATGGGTCTCAATCAACACATATTATTATATTTATCATGTACACACATACAAATCGTTTAGCGTTAGACTATTCGCGCTAGAAATGTATTCATAATTAGGAAGGTTATATACAGGCAGACAGATGCAGACACGTTTGTGGGACAACGTGTTACATGACCGCAATACAAAAACATATTCAAGTATACTATTTTTACATGAATTACTGCTTTGATCTCGCGATGACCTTGATAATGTAACTGACAACCCCAACATCAGATGAAGTAATGCGTTCAGCACATATAATCATAAGTCGTTGACAAAACCAAGTCACATGCTTCGGTGTCGATCTGACGTAGATATTTTCTAATTTGGATGCACTCCACAGTCACTGCACATTTCACTCCAGGCTGGATGAAAATTAGATGCACTGATGCTATTGTTTAACTATAAAACTGTTTCGCTAGCCTTGTTGGCGCATATATTCCTCATACAACAGTAAACGCTCTTAGGCCTATTTTCGTACCGTATAGTCAGCGTTCACATGCAACTTGTGGGGATTTGTGAACGGTATACCATAAGCAAACAATGTGCTGGAGCAATATCATGCATGACCTGTGTCCTACATTCAGGTGAAAGCGGGTCAAAAATTTAGAGCATTCATATGTGTGGCAGGGGAAGAGAACTGATTGACGGACGAATCTCCGTGAAGCAGCATTGGTGCCTCTGCGTCCGCCTGTCAGAACGGAATAACATGTCTTGCTGTGAGGGAGGCCGACGACGGTGCGAGGGAGGGTGGCTGGTTGTGTTGGGTGAGTCATAGGTTCTTTATCAACATACGTGAAGAACACGGCTAACATGTAATCCTGATGAACGTTTGGTGAACCGTTTGCTATTCGATAGTTAGACTGTTGAAAGAAAAGGAAATTGTCTGCTACAAAAATGACATTGATGCAAGGTTAATTTCTTCAAAACAATATTTAGGCGCACAGGTTGAATTAAAAATATATCTTTAGCTGCAAATATATCTCCAAACAAAACCCTGGGGGACAAAAAATCCACTGGGAGAAGGGGAGGGGGGGGGGGGGGGGGCTATTCTTTTATGTTACGATTTTGAAACCTAACTGCGCACACACACATTCAAGTCATTAATTCTGCCATCAGCACTATTCCAGTTGTAAGTCAGCAGCCTGCATGTCACGTGGCTGCCTGTTGTCTTAGGTTTCAGGAGGGGAGGCGAAGAGAAATTGAGAGGGGTTATAGTTGGGAGGAAAAAGGTAAGAGTTCGAGGAGATCGGCTGAGAAAAGGGAAGGAGGAGGTTGGAAGGAGATCGTTTATAGCGGGAAAAGAAAGCGATGAAGTGATATGATTATCGGTTGAGGTGTGGAAAGTAACAGAGGTATATGGATAAACTAACATATAGTCTCTGAAATGAAAAATTATTATTGAAAGAAAAAAAACAGTTGTTAAATTCTAGCTATAAAATATAATAAAAAGGAGCCAAGAGACTTTCTTCATTTCAGGGGCTAAACAAATCCGCAGAGCTATAAATGTTATCACCCATCATAGACATGCTACTGGAAATGTGTGTGACAGGAATATTACTGCTTCTAATACCTCTGCCCACACACACCCACACACCAACCCACTGCCAGGGGTGACAGTTTAGAGGGCTGTAAGTGTCGAATGTCCAGAAATCTAGCTATTTTGAGGGCCAGTTTGTGGATACCAGCTAAAGGGCTGCATTTAGTGTGATTCTAGTCTTTCATACAGACCCTGAAACAAATAGATCCAATACAGCCCATGCAAGTCTATAATATTTGGCAAGTCTATATTACTGGCAAACTAGCCTTATGGCAAACTAGCCCAAGGTCCCTTAGACTGAGAAAGAAAATTCCAAACTTCGAAAAAATACAAGGTGCTTGACCTAAGGAGTATCTGGACTCACAATCATCAAAAATGAAATTGAGCAAAAAGGTAACTTGACTCCTGATCGTAAATAGGTCTTTGACCTAAACTATCAATCACGGGAAAGTTAGTTATGCATGGATTACTCGAAAAGGAGAATGTGAAAACCTGAGCTCATTACGTTAAGCTCAATACAACCAGAGTAGGTCAGTACCAGATTAATACCGCAGCGTAATTAGTTATGAACGAAACCCAGCAGCCATACCACCCGTAAGCGGCCTGGCGATCTCTGACAGTAAAGACACATGGTTTTGCCAAAGGGCTTAGCAAGACCGTGATTAGACTGGTTGTACGACCCGGTGACAAGGTTAAGGTGGGGAGAGTAGGGGAGGAGCTGATATGGACCTAGGTTGAGTTGAGGAAAGTAAGGGAGGCGGTGGGGAGTAGATCGTCTGAAGTGGGAAAGTAAGTGAGGAAGTGGTATGAATATAGGTTGAGGCTGGGAATGTAACAGAGGAGATGGGAAGGAGATCGGTTGAGGTGGGAAAAGGAAGGGAGGATTTGGGAAGGAAATATGTTGAGGTGGGGAGAGTAAGAGAGAAGTGATTTAGGTGGAGATGGAGACAGTGGGAAGAAAGGTGGGTTGGTGATAGGTTGAGATGGGGAAATTAAGAGGAGAGGCGGGTGGTGATAGGTTGAGATTGGGGAAATTAAGAAGAGAGGTTGGTGGGTGATAGGTTGAGATGGGTAAATTAAGAGGAGAGGTGGGTGGGTGATAGGTTGAGATGGGGAAATTAAGAGGAGAGGTGGGTGGGTGATAGGTTGAGATGGGTAAATTAAGAGGAGTGGGGAAGGAGGTACGTTGAGATGGGTAAATTAAGAGGAGAGGTGGGTGATAGGTTGAGATGGGGAAATTAAGAGGAGAGGTTGGTGGGTGATAGGTTGAGATGGGGAAATTAAGAGGAGTTGGGAAGGAGGTAGGTGGAGGTGGGGATAGTAAAAAGAGAGGTGGGTGGGTGATAGGTTGAGATGGGGAAATTAAGAGGAGTGGGGAAGGAGGTACGTTGAGATGGGTAAATTAAGAGGAGAGGTGGGTGATAGGTTGAGATGGGGAAATTAAGAGGAGAGGTTGGTGGGTGATAGGTTGAGATGGGTAAATTAAGAGGAGTGGGGAAGGAGGTACGTTGAGATGGGTAAATTAAGAGGAGAGGTGGGTGATAGGTTGAGATGGGGAAATTAAGAGGAGAGGTTGGTGGGTGATAGGTTGAGATGGGGAAATTAAGAGGAGTTGGGAAGGAGGTAGGTGGAGGTGGGGATAGTAAAAAGAGAGGTGGGTGGGTGATAGGTTGAGATGGGTAAATTAAGAGGAGTTGGGAAGGAGGTAGGTGGAGGTGGGGACAGTAAGAAGAGAGGAGGGTGGGTGATAGGTTTAGAGAGGGCATGGGCAGAGGAGGATTTGCGACGGAGTGGAGATGGGCGGAGGATGGGTGGAGATGGGCGGAGGATGGGTGGAGATGGGCGGAGGAGGGATGGAGATGGGCGGAGGTGGAGTGGAGACGGAGTGGATATAGGCGGAGGAGTTGAGATGGGAGGAGGAGGAGAGGAGATGGGCGGAGGAGGAATGGAGACGGAGTGGATATAGGCGGAGGAGGAGTTGAGATGGGAGGAGGAGGAGAGGAGATGGGAGGAGGAGGAGTGGAGATGGGCGGAGGAGGAGCGGAGATGGGCCGAGGAGGAGTTGGGATGGGCGGAGATGGAGTGGAGATGGGTGGGAGAGTGGAGATGGAGAAAAGGAGATGGGAAGATGTTGATGTGGGAAAACAGATTTGTAAATGGAGATGGTAGATTGTCGTAGGTGGAGTTGATATAGATTTAGATGTTAATAATACCTTATTGGGGATGTGAGGTATTTTCTCAAGCGAAGCTTTCGAAAGCCACTGATGCATATGTGGTTGGGTTCACATAAAATGTAAGCTATCAAGTAGACATTCGTTTTCTTTCAGCTTGTTTCGGAGTGAACACGTTAATGATGGGATACATCAAATGCTTTGGAATCCTCTTCGTGGAATTTATACACGAGTATAATGCATCTGCATCCATGACATCACTGGTCATGGGCCTGACTTCAGCATCAACCAGTATAATGTGTAAGTATGGGTAACACTGGCGAGGAGCTGCTCGTGCAGCCGGCTAATGCAGTAACGATGGATACACAATGCCATTTAGAAAGTGGTCAAATGTAACAAATGTTATATTTGGGATTACCTCTTCTTAGTAAAGTACAGATTCTCGTATTTTTTTCGGTTGAGTCCCGTCCGGGATTCGAACCCACACTTGCCAGAGTGATGCACCTAATCGCCAGCACACAAAGTCAGCGATCTAATCCACTCAGCCACCGAGGCTTCCACAAAAATGAAAGTCCGACAAACGGTAGTCTAGATCACGGACTTTTAGTACCCCTCTGACAAGTGTAAATTGGCACGGCTCCCATGGCCGAAAGCTATGAATACACAATGCCATTTAGAAAGTGGTCAAATGTAACAATGTAACAACTACATCGTCGGTATGTGTATATAGCCTCAGGTGAGGTGAAATAAGGCTTAACGTCGTGTTCAAGATCATTGCATTTGTATAGCGCACACATGTGCGTGTGTGCGTGCGTGTCTGCTTCTACTAGTCCGGGTTAATACCGATATTCTATAGCCCAAGACGCGGTCTTAACAATGATACCCGCCCAGACACAATATACTGACTCTGTCCGTGCAAAACACCAGGCAGGTTACGATCGACATTCCTTTCACGAGGTAGATGCTTTTGCGACGAGACCACGACGCGGTATACGTGATCATGCTGGTCTGACTGGATCGTACTGGTTTTACTGGACCATACCGGATCATACTGGTCTTGATTGAACTTACTTCAAGCCTTGTTTTTCCCTGCGAACTTTAGTAAAACCAGTGTGACATATACGCGAATATACTATCCCCTTAATAAATACGGTCTATCTAAATGCTTGGATAATTTGTTGCGAATATGACCAAGGAAGGTATCTTTTCCTGTGATATACTGCAGGACACGTGATATCAATACTACCTTTGTGAACCCGTGAAGATTCCGGGGTAGAATAGATCTTCAGCAACCCATGCTTGCCGTAAAGGGCGACTATGCTTGTCGTAAAAGGCGACTAACGGGATCGGGTGGTAGGCTCGCTGACTTGGTTGATGCATGCATGTCATCGATCCCAATTGCGTGGATCGATGCTTATGATATTAATCACTGGATTGTCTGGTCCAGACTCGATTATTTACAGACTGCCGTCATATAGCTGGAATATTGCTGAGTGCGGCGTTAAACAACAAACCAAACCAACCAAAACTACCTCAAGTTTTATTGTCTTTACTCTCTTTGTGTAGACGGGCAATAAACGTTTTAACCACGTGTAATAGTTTGACCTCTATCTATTCTCATAGAAGGTCAAGTTGATCACGATGTACACAGCAGTTGGCAAGTTGTCATGTCCTTGTTTAATATGACCTTAACAAGTGTACAACCACGGTGACGCTGGTTACCGGTGATATACACAGTGTATATAGCTCGTTTCTATAATGTATGGTTATGTGTAGTCGTTTTATCGTTATATACTGGTTATAAATTATTATTATATTAATACGTGATACTCTAATTATTTTACTGTCCACTGTCGACAGGTTTTATATAGACTTAATGTATTGTTATTAATGGATAACTATTCCAAGTCACATGTGATGTGTGAAACATTGCCGATGTGACTCACTCACTCACTCACTCACTCACTCACTCACTCACTCACTCACTCACTCACTCACTCACTCACTCACTCACTCACTTCGGGCTTTCTTCCCACATCAAGCTTACATGCCGTGAAATAAATGGAATACTGTTTAAAGCATCGTTACACCAATCTCACCCACTCAATCACTCAAAATGTTTGTTGTTTAACGCCGAACTCAGCAATATTCCAGCTATACACGGCTTTCCGAGTATGGACCAGACAATCCAGTGACTGACATCATGAAATGAGGTTTAACGTCGCGTCCAAGGTTATTACAATTACATAGCGTCGTACATGCACGCGTGTGTGTGTGTGTGTGTGTGTGGCTGTGTGGCTGTGTGGCTGTGTGTGTGGCTGTGTGTGTGGCTGTTTGTGGACTGATGCCGATTTATAGTGCTGGCCCACTGAGATACCACGCCGCAGTGTAACATGAATACCCCACACAGACACAGTATCCTGACTACTAAGCGGACCAGTCCTTGTTTTAGCCCCTTAATGACGAGCGCCAGACAGGGTAACAACAAATACCATCTTTCAATGTCTTTTGGAATGACGCGGCCGGAGATTGAACCCGTTCCTCGGGCAAACACTCAACCACTAGACCACGGAGGCGGTCTCAAACACAGTAATAAGCACATGTGTTTCCTGAAAAAACATGCTGAGTATAGCCAAACTGCAAGTCAAAACGTTCTCGTAGATCTAGCCCGCTGAGTCAGATGTTATTAGAAAATCCGGTCTAATGAAGTCATCTCTTTCTCTTGAGTAAACAGTTACACTAAATATATACTGAACCGCAAACGAAACGTCACAATGGATAGATATATGAGAAACCTTATTTGTCCAAACACTGTAAACATACTTTGAGACATATTAAGAAGATGAAACTTGGCAAAACTGATCATCAAGGTTGAAATTAAAGTGTCAAATGTTCTTAAAGTGAAACACAACACTAGTCTCTGAGAAAATGGCATCACAAGTCATTATCTTGTGTCTCCGCCATGTTCATTGGTGACTGCCGTGTAACGTCGATACATGGAATGGATAAGGCGGTTGATGAAGGCCATAGGCACTTCAGCCCACACTCTGAGGAACGCCTGAGTCAGTTCAGCTGTAGTTGTCGGCCTTGGTTGGGCGTCATTCAGCCGTCACTGAATCTCGTCCCACAGGTGCTCAATTGGATTTAAATCGGGACTGAGGGCAGGCCACTGTATGGTTCCGATGCCATTCTGCTGTAGGAAGTCTCTTGATGTTCTCGCAGTGTGGGCACGGGCGTTATCATGCTGAAACTCGTGGTTGCGGCAAGGTGCCAAATGAGGTATGGCGTGTGGTCTCAAGACTTGATCAATGTACCGAGCTGCTGTGACACAATTGCATCTCCCTGGACCGATGTTCTGGAAGACCACAGGGCCGACCCTCTGTGCAAGACCAATTCCATCTCACACCATGGTGCTCGGACCATCCCACGAGTGTCTCTCAACAACACAAATATTCGAATAACGTTCCCCACGGCGTCGCCAGACTCTCTCTCTCTGCCATTTGCTGTTGAGACACAGTAACGGCTCTCGTCTGAGAAGAGGTCATCTGTAATGTTGGTGGTCTTGTACCGTTGCTGGAGCCTGTATATGGTCCTTACGTGGAACAAAAATGCATTTCCTACTTGCCGGGCGGTTTGTCCAGCTTGCAATCGTCCAAGGGCTTGGTGTCGCTGATTTCTTGTCAATCTTGGCATGTGGTAGCAATTCAATAACGAATGAATGTTTTCCGATCTGGGTGGATTTTTGTTGGGCAAGAAATGGGGGAACGCATGTGCATTTCAATTTGCACGGAACTCGCGTGCATCGGGTTACCGTGGCCGTTGCGGTGATGGGTTTGGGCGATCGGTTCTATTGTCATCTGCTTTGTGTTTTATCAACAACTTCCTTGTTCCGGACAAGGTAATGTTAAATTTTAGAAACTTTGACAAAAAATTACCCAGAAATTTCAATGACAACGTTTCATGCAATGTTACTTAGGGTGACGTTTCTTTTGCGGTTCAGTATATATAACAGATATAAACTGCCGGACAAGAGAAAGTATATACTGGAACACTGGATTTGACCAAAACATCTTATCAAAACGTTACAATCATGAAAACAGTCGCCGAAAACTTAAGGTAACGACATAGCAAACATATCACCATCGGATAATCAAGTCACAATAGAGTTGCCCTGCCCTGCCCTGCCATAACATTTTATTCTATTTTATTCTATTTTATCTATTTATCTATTTATTTTTGTTTTTGTTTTGTTGTTGTTAATTATGTTGTTCTTTATTGTTGTTGTTGTTGTTTTTGTGCATTACTTCGGGTTATCCTCCCACCCCAAGCTGACATGCCGTGATATAACTGGAATACTGTTAAAAGCGGCGTTAAACCCCAATCACTCACTCAGTCATGTCATTTGGTTATGTAATTGTGATATTGTGTTAAACTTATATATGAGAGGGAATTGCATTGGATATCATTTTGGTCACTGATTCGTGAAACATGGCAATGTCCTCCACATGTCTATTTCAAAACGTTATTGTTTCTTACGTCATCGAGTGTCATCAACTTATGAGCAAGGTACGTATGGCGCTTTTGTATTCTCCGAAGGAAGTGTTTGCTCCATTGTACCTCAAAATTGGAAGAATGTAGACATCAAATGAGTTGTTGGAATATTGTTGGAAACTGTTGGATAATTGTTGTCACCCCTCTTGTCATTCATTTATCCCTTTGAATCTTTATACATACAGTAAACTACGGTTATAACGAACACGCTTATAACGAACTGACGGATATAACGAACTTACTTTTTAGTCCCGACTATTTGCTGTGGTTATGCTGTGTATATGCTTATAACGAACTACGGTTATAACGAACTAAAAATAGTAGTCCCTTTGAGTTCGTTATAACCGTAGTTTACTGTATATCTAAATATAAAACAGATGAGTCGGTGTCGCTGGTCGCTTATATTTCTAATTCAGATGGGCGCATCACGGGCGTTTTAGTGATCTTGGTACAACTTGTTCAAATAAATTCAATAACTCTAAAATTTCATAATTTCAGCAAAGAAAAATTGTATTACGATCACAATGGTATATATGATGTGGAAATCCTCTTTGCAATTTGATGGTATTCCTGTTCTGTTTCATTACAAGCTCTTGTGGTTCTAAACATCCTCATGGGCCGACTGAGCATCAGAAAACTGGCACTGGCTGGGGCCATCCTTGCCTCCCTTGGAGTCGTCCTCACTTCTGTATCTGCTAGCATCGAATTCCTCCTGTTTTCCCAAAGTGTACTCGTAGGTAAGGGTCATTGCATGCCTTGTATCATATATGCATGTATGTAACACGTGGAAATGCGTCAAAGATCATTATGATTGATTGATTGTTGTTAAACGCCGTACTCAGCAATAATGTTCCAGTTATATGACGGCAGTCTGTAAATAATTGAGTCTGGATCAGACGATCAGACCTCATGAGCATCGATCAACCCAACCAGAATACGATGACATGCATCAACCAAGTCAGCGAGCCTGATAACAGACTCCGTTAGTCGCCTCTTACGACAAGCATAGTCACCTTTTACGGCCAAAAAGAAGACCTATAATTCTAAGATCATTGATCATTAAGAAAGGGGCAACATAACCTTCCTACTGTCATGAATTTATGGTTTAATTCTTGAGCAACATTTCGCTTTTGTAGGTTCTTCGCAAGGGTTGTTGTATGGTCCTGGTATCGTGTTGATAGGAGAACACTTTGACCAGAGGCGAACCATAGCCACAGCTACAGCCACGTCTGGGATTAGTGTTGGTGCCATGCTTATGCCACTGCTACTGAGGTACCTCCTCGACAATTATAACCTAAGAGGTGCTCTTCTTATACTTGGAGGATTAATGCTGGAAATGGTTGTATTTGCGACCTTCTACAGAACAGCTCCTGTCGAAAGGGAAAGCCATGATGGTACCACGTGTCGTCTCGATGAAAGACGCATAAACGATGAAGAACAGCATACTGGAAATTCGGAAGACACGACAAACAGTGAATATGTACTTAAACATCAGAGTCAAGGATTAAATGATTGCCTCCTGCACGAACTAGAATCCGGTGATATTTCAGAAGATGATGCACCCTGCGATTGTCAGAGACAAAATACCCATACTCGCACTTATAAATCCGTCGGCGGAGATAGGAAGATCGATGATAATTTTGAATCTATTGGTAACGGCGTTGATGCCAATTTTAATCGATATTTAGCTTCAAATATACCATGCCGTTGTAGCACCGTCAAGTTTTCCAGTCATTCAGACTCAATATGTTTGTCTACATTTAGTTTGCACGGCAAGGCTACAGCACTAAGCGAAAGTTCATTGAACAGGGAATCAAAATGCTATCACAGGAATTGCGATACGGCTCTGTTTTCAAATCCAAAGTTTTGGATAATATTTGGATTTACCTTCTTTGGAATCATAGGAACCAACATGTTCCCAGTACTTCTGCCGCCGTTAGCCACCGAAAAAGGCCTGAGTGAAATGGAAGTTGCTTTATTTGTAAGTTTATTTGCTGGATTAGACTTCATTAGCCGCGTGTGTTCAGGCATTGTGGCAGAACTGCCCTGGGTCAATAGGCGTTATATGCTGATCTCTATGTTCATCGTTCTTGGGATCATCTATCAATTTACTTCTTTCTATTCCAACTTCAGACTCATGCTTTTGTTTGTTGTGTTGTTTGGACTTATCAATGGAGTATATGCTACTCTACATCCGCCGCTCATCATAGATTTCCTCGGATACGACTATTTCTCAAAAGTGTTTGGATTTGTTCAAGTGTTCCACGGGGCTGCTATGTCTACTTCATTTCCACTGCTTGGTGAGTTCAACATGGTCACAAAGATGTATCCTCCGCAACTGATAAACTACCGATCAACAGAAAGTACACACCCATGTTTAATAGTGACTTAGCGTTAATCAAAGAAGAAATGCTAATTCGATGGTGATGTATTGGATATGGGTATTTTTTTGTCAAATCCAATTTATACGTGATACTTTCTATTGCCCGGCAGTTTATATAAAGGTGTCTTATCATCATAATACACGTTTATCCTAAGATGAACATTGGTAAGTATATGTACATATTAGCATAACGAATAACTGAGTGACAAAACATGTTTGACTTATGATCAGATAATCCAATGATTGATGAAATATGCATGTATCAAACGAAGTATCCCTTTCGACTTCAGAAACCAAATGCTTCTGAAACTGGAAGTATTAAACTTGTTTATAAGCTGGTTAGTCACATGGAACTTTAGAGTTGAAATTCATAGCTTCACCTTGACAATAGCAGATCTTTGTACTTAATCCTCAATTAGCATACAAAGAGCTCTAGGGTTCCCAACATGACGCTGTTTTATCTATGGATACTTTAGTTATTACAGTTGTTTGTTTTTATGATTGTATCACCTTTGTTAGTATAATACACTTCTGTGTAAATATTATGAATGCTAATGTTTTTATCATTTTGCTTTCAGTATTTATCATATTTATCTTTTATCATTTTTGCAGGTTTTCTACGTGACGTCACGGGAACATATACCACGGCGTTCTATGTCCTTGGGGCGACTCAGTTCATTGGAGCCGTGTTCCTACTGGTGGAACCACTCTCACGAAGGGCAGGTTGAGCCCAAACAAGGGGATCTACCAGAATGTATAAGACCACGTTGAAATGTGTAATCCCACGCAAAGGGACCGACCATTCGTTATTCTGTGGATGGTGGTGTGGAGTAACATGTAAATTGTCAGGCATAATTGCATGAATGGAAGGTTACATTCGTTTTGTTCTAAACGTTTATTCTATTTGAGCTAGAATAACATCTAATGCTTGTGAGTATTATTGAATTAAAAGTCCAAACCTCAGTTGCTCATCTGACATATGGATACTATGACTGTGTTAAATAGTTTGTCTATATACTACATATGAATGTGTTGGTACAAAATAGTACGTATACCCTGTGCAAAGCGGATTTACTATTGAAGCTAAATGGCAGTGTATTTTGTCCTATGTAAATTACCACAAACCTCTTCATGAAACTGAATTGCGTACATTGGCCACGTGCACTTCACCCACAAAACCAATAAAATATGTTCTGTTTTGTTTTGCTTTGTTTGTTAACTCTAACTCATGAAATGGATGGCGTGGTGTTCCTCTGAGTGGATAATGGAATTCATCACCTGCACCTTAAGACAGGTTCATTCTTCCCAAGGTAATGAAAGTCTTAAGAGGCTTTGCCAAACAGGAATTGCAGTGTCCTAACATATTGTCATCATTGAAAATGTGAACAATACTACAAAACTGGGAGATGCTTTATTCTTCTTTCCGAGGAACAAAAGATGTTGAATTGACTTGAAAGATGTCATCAGAGTCCTTTAACATAGTGACACTACGACGGCTCACAGCTGGCGTCTTAGTTTTTGAGTTTCCTAATGCAATAGTACTATGTTAGACATGAAGCTTGGTTAATCAATCTTAACAATAATTGTACATGCACATATAGCCCATTTACGTTTCTCTATGGAATCTGTTTTTTTATTCTTTTATAGAGGTCTTTCCCAAACATAGTCTGACAACAGTTTTAATAAGACCAGTTGATAAGGGATGTGAAAACTCTGCAACAACAAGAATATTTAATTGAAGTGCATGATGATGTGTGGAAGGATGTACACTCTATCTGAACCCAGAATCATCACACGTCGAGTCTATTGACAGACATACATCATCCTTCAAAAGATGTCAATCATTGCGAAGAATCTCTTGGGGTTGTAAGTCTCAATAAGTCGCCAAATGATAGTGCAACATGTAACAATAATAACAAGGCATTGGTTGGAAGTGAAGAAATACCTCAGCAACCCCAGAATTCTACACTGAAGTATGGTACTGTCCTTACGTGTTTCCAGGAAATGCATTTTATATCTCACAGAAGAGCACAATCAGTTAAAAAGAAAAAGCGAGGCAGTTTTCCAAAAGCCATCTTTGGACAAAACGTTGTGGTGAAAGGTGATGAACATCTATATTTCACGAAAGTGAAACTTCCCTCAAAAACCAAAGAATGTTGATGGGAGTTCAATGGTTAAGTTGGTATGATTACAAGCCAGTAAGAGATCGAAGTCGCATTACTGATATATATTATCACATCTTGCTAGATGAACAACACTGGGTCGACTTTATGGCCCTTCAAGAAGTATGTCAAGTAGAATATAACAATGACCCATAGAACAGTGTGTAAATTGACTGTGTTATGAGATGGTAAAGACAGTGGTAAAAGTGGTGACGAATCTACTGAAAGTTCAGAGAGTATTCGGTAGATTAAATACATCGTTTCAGTATCTAATTCCTGCTATACCGAACATAGCAAGAATCACGAGAATTCTGCCGAGATATTTGGGTAAAGTATGCAGCATGCCGTAAGGTGGGGACAACACCAGAATTCATAAACAAACTAAACAACACCCTGTCAAGATCATGTTGAGGGGGAGTTGTGATGAATCCATATATTCTACCATGAATTTGAACATTACGCGATTCCGATTCGTTAATCAGAGGTTATCAATCCACAATAAACCCCCCTGATTGAAACAGCCGATTTGACCGTCGTATCACCGCGGAAGCTAATATTTAAAGAAAAGTACTTCTTTTTCAGTCATTGTCGGTAAGCTATTTAAAACAAGAGAACATTGATGCAGAGCGTCAAAGTTCCCCGCAATATGTGATGCTTCACAAAAGCATAATTATGATGTTACTGAAAGGCATGACAAAGTCATAAAAATTGTTGGTGGGCCTTAATTTCGGAACCGAGTTAATAAGTCATACAAAACATTTTTTGAAGTATGCGACAGTTCCTTTTATCTTTTTCATGAACATATATGAATATGAATTTTCCAAAATCTGAGGATGTTGTGATACCGTGCGAACATCACCAGCTGTAACCATGGAGGAGGTGCCTGCAGAATGAAGACCATGTTGATGTTTCATTTTCAGATGGATGCTTATTTGCTTACCAAGCATCATTTTATCATATGTGACGGCCGTATGTTGTAAATATGTCAAAACTTTGGGTTTTTGTCATATAAACGACATTTGAAATACATTGACGGCTGGATTTATTTTAACCGTTGTTGTTTGAAAGCATTGTTTCCATTCGGGAATAGCCAAGGAAATGCCATTTCTTCGCCATATTGAATTACATAAATATCAACAGGTCTTTCAGTGATGGATGGTACATTAATGATTCTGTTGGCAGATTCTGATTCAGGACGGTTCCTCTCATTTACTTGTGAATGTTCACTTTACATTTGCTGAAAGGTTGATTTTAGCAGCAGATGCTGGTTTACAGCGGAATATAACGTGGTTACTCTTGCACTGTCCAATGACTCAACCTCTTTAATACTGACAGTATTGCCAACATTAGCATCACGTAAATGATCTATTATTTCTTCAGATTTGCCAATGTCAGTGTCTTTGTACAAATGGTTATTGTACTTCAGCTAGTGAATGGCCTCATATAATCTGTTTGATGGAACTTGAAGAGACTCTGAAATTTGTGGACTTTTGTGTAGAAAATGGGCGGCAACCAAATTGGAATCTTCCAAAGGATGTGGTATCTGTTTTGATATTCTTTGAATTGGTGATGGTTGGTTGGTTGGTATGTTGTATAACGTTTAACATCATACAAATTAGTTTCTTTTCAATTTGTGTTAACACTTTTAGTGTGGGAGGTGTTTCTGGAACTGCCAGGTTATTGGCTTGATGTGCAATATTTGGCATCTCATTTTTTGCAAGATAATGTTAACAAGTACGACACAAGCTAGATCCTTCAATCAATCCAAGGTTTTGAGATTGTGTATTTTCCTTTGTTAAATGTGTTGTCTGATCCCAATATAAGAAGCGCTCACAAGATTCACATGAAGAAGGTTTTGTCGAAAAGACCGTTCATAATCTGCACAATGTGAAGATAATATACAAAAAATCTCTTGATGACATGTTTTCTTCAGTATTCACCTCACAAACACTCGCAATAGGAATATCATCAGGTTCCAATATATTTTCTGACAAACTTATGACATAACTTGTTCCTCGTGAAAGTATGCCATTTGAAGTGGAGAACATTTCAATACCAGAACTAATCCATAACGGAGATTCCTCGTCTCTTGTTTTACGTGTTTTGGTCGGTTTCATTATTGTATGTCTTTCCTTCAAAGAATAGTAATTATGATCATGATGAGTTGAGTTACTTGGTCTTTTTCTATGTACTGCTTTTTGTCCAGTGTCAGTAACTGTTGCGGAATGTGGTTTCCTTTTAACAGCGACTGGTGTAAGTTCATATGATGATGATTGATATACTGTTAAGATGTAACATAACAATTCATCCATACTACTAAACAGAAGTTAAACTGCTTGTCCATTCGGATCAGTCTGACCCAAACCATTCTGCTGATGCGAGTCAAATAATGCATACGAATCATAATCCGTAAAATTCAATTAAGACATCATTAAAAGTTACCAAAATTGACTGGGATATCAATATCGCTTGGGAGCTGATTATGACCTAAATACTTCTCATAACCTTCGGTGTTAACTATGTGACTGTAGAGAGTTGTGCCTTCATGCAACAGATTATCGAGGTACAGACGCAACTAGATTTGAGCCCTGGGACACAAAATATATGATAGCGACCAGAGCAACGGCTGTACAATAAATTCCATTAAACGGTTGAAAAATACTACAGCCTTCATGCAAGTTCGCCGACACACTACTGACCATTTCGCTTTGACTTTGCTACCACACGTTTCACATGTGGCTATGTGCCATGCACTGATTAAAAGACACGGGGACTGGGTTAATTCAAAATACGGAATATAACAATTCCAAACATTTCCAGTGAACTTGAGCATCCAAACAATCAAACGTGTTTAGTGTAGAATGTGGAATTCAGCTGTATTACACATAATTTGAGATGTCGTCGTTGTTCATGAATAAGCATATTCAGAACATACTTTATATTATGCTGTTATTTACGATGTCCGGAGTACAGTTCTTCTTTTGTATATACCGTGCAAATCAGAAAATTAGTACTTGAGGAAAAAAAGGACATTGGATTACAAATGAATGGTTTAATAATGTCAGCTAATGACCAGAAACGGCCAGATGCACCATGTCGACATACATGCTATAAAATTAACCTTTCCCGTATACTTCCCCGCCTTCAGGGCGAGGAAGAATAAATATATGTACAATTATATCTTACAAAATGCAAAGTTGCGGTTACTACAATATTTAAAGGGTGTGTGGTAATACATTTTGTGCAGAAAGCATCTTGACATCTACAAAGAGAATATATTTCAAGTTTTCGGTCTTTTGCGTTACAGTGAGCGACGTTACGTGATAATAGTGACGTGCGTTACAGAACGAAACCTTGCAAGCTTGCGAAGTTGCTGACTATGCGCAACATGCTTTGATCGCCTTTGTTCGAGTTACGTATTACGGTGTGTAAAGACTGCTTGATCATATGCAGCGCCATGCCCCTTCACTCAATGTATGTGCTAACGCCAAAAAGTTCGCATTGAGATAAGCATACTGTGTTTTCAATGTAGGGCAAGGTTACCTGTAGTTCAACTGCGCTAAATTTATCATTTGAAACCGCACATCACACGTTCGGTTCCAAATTCAATTTAGCGGGTGTTGCAGGTATATTGACCACTGAAATATTAACAGATACTATTGCAATGTCACAAAGAGTATGGTGTAGTTGTATAAACTCCCCAACGTGAAGCTTTGTTGATGTCAAGGTCTGTTACGTTCCCATCATGCTATACCTTGTTGGGAGAAGTGCAAGACTCTCCTGGAGAAGCTTTGATGTTTCCTACACACCCGTGAAACACCTTGAGATAACTGGTATGATCGAATACCAGGTCCACGGTCCATGACGTAGACCTTAGGGAAACTTTTAACGGACTACTGTGCTGATTGTAATTCATAAACACGTTCCCCCTTCTTCAATCCAGCGTTAAATGTTTCACTGACAAGAACTAGATTCCCCTGAGCAACATGTATGTCGAGATTTAA